CCCCCCCCCGAAATAAATAGTATCTCACGAAAATTCTAGACCAATTACAAGTCATGGTGACCCTTTTGTGTTTTGGAATCCATATAATACATGTATATCCCTGTTTACTATGTAGACTATACATTATGTAAGTGGGAACAAAATACTATATCAGCCAATGGTGACCTTGACAATGACTCGAGCTATCTTTGATTTTGGTATCCTGGTTACATCCTTTACGCGGGGTATTAAATAATACTATATACCACAAAAACAACAAAAACACTGGTGGATGGTGCCAAATGGGACAATACAATATCTTTTTGATAGTAAATCCCTCTTTTTCATGTTTTGTTACAGTGAACTTGATCGTGGCTTATGGAACTGAATAAATGCTAAGCTTCTTGATTTTGAGATAATCGCTGGGAAACGAATGTTTGGACAGTCAGGCAGTCAAAGCAAGGCACGGCAAGATACGGCAACGCAACGTATGTCTACACAAGAAATTACAAGGCAACGGAAGACATGAATAGAAAAGGCTATGAAAGACAAGATTGGGCAGGGCTACGCTTTGTTTAATACTTGGTCATAGATGTGCGAGAGTATTTGAGCCCCTCGTCTCGATTTAGAACTGGCCCACTGAGGCGTATCCAGATGGCTTCCTTTATCTTTCGGTACATATATAACAAATATTGTACATACGCTTATGTGTAACAGAAAAGAGAATAGTGTGCTTCCACCGGGGATCGAACCCTCGATCTCCAGGTTACTAGTCAGACCTCTTCCACTGGCTAAAGGGAAATTCCCTCTAGCTCGAAGCTAGAAGGCGACCGTAATCCTATGTACAATTAAAACCTGCCATACTACTCCCCCCTTTTTAAATGTGTTCGCCCTCGAACACCACAACCCAGGTTCTTACTCCCTGTCACCACAGGGAGGGCCACGGACACCATTTGTAACAGGAAAGGAAATAGTGTGTTTCTACCGGAAACGGATCGAACCCTCGATCTCCAGGTTCCTAGTCGGAAGCTCTACCACTGAGCTAAAGAGAAATTCCCTCTAGGTCGAAGCTAGAAGGCGACCTTAATCATATGTACAATTAAAACCTACCACATCTGTAATAATAGAGATTGTCATTCAAATCAGGTGTCCTATCGCCGCTTCTTGAATGCGTGGATACGGATTTTTTAAAAATTTTACTCTGTTCTTGTTTTGTATCTATTTGTATTAGTGCAATATATTGACAATGTCCGCTGAATGCCAAAAACACCACAAACAATAGTGATATTTGGGTATTTACAAACAATTTAATCAGTAGGTCGAGAAATACTGTACATTTACAGCCTACATTGACTCAAAAGCCATTGTTCCCGCAAACTGGAGTTATCATCTCAAAAATTGACCTTAGAACGTAATTATAACAAGTTCCATGATGTTGACAAAAGTACAATTGGGTGGAGCTGTGCAAATTTTCCGCGAATGTGACGTCATCAACAGAAGATGTGTGATAAGTTACTTTTATTGAACCAGACAGTCTCACGTTATTGTTTCCCTTGATCTGACTAATGAATAAAATAATAATGAAACATTCACAAACAAAAAAGAATTGTAAATATAAGTAGACACTGTACATGACCACTGCAGGTTCGGTGTCTTCTGCTTAACAGATCTTAATTAAATAAATCAAAATTAATCTGCTGCCCCTTGAAACACGTATATCAATAACAACACTTTAAACTCGAGTGTTTATATTTACGATGTAAGCGTTGTTGAGACATTTTGAAACCAATTAAGAAATTAGAAAACCCAGATACAGTCTTGAACAGACTTACCTCCGGCTAGAAAGGGTTGTCTTTCCTAACTCGCACTTGCATGAGAGTAGCAAACATTCATCACAAACATGACGAAAATAACAACAAATAATAAAAAGAATAGCAGCTTGTATTAAATTGACCATATAATGCGCCACCTGTTCCGTGAGTCGGCTTCGTAAAGGAATTGAAAAATATAACGGTGCAGTATCCTTAATAAAATATCATCAACCGGAAATTGCCGGTGTTTGCCGAGATGCATAAACCAATGAAATTAGCTTCCGGTATACCGAGGTTTGAGCGCCATTTTCGATTGTGACTGTCTTCAAAACATTGGTGACTGGTTCAAAATGCCTGCCCAAAGGAAAAAGAAGGGACAGAAAGCCGTTCAAGTAGAAGAGGAACCTATGGAAGTGGTTGAAAAAGAAGGCGATCCATCTGAGGAAGGCGATCTGGTGACAAGTGTCGTTTCTCGCCAGTTCAATCCAGAAGGTGAAAGGCTAACAAGTCATGTTGACTTCATCTGTTGTGGTGTTCGTCAACATACTTATGTTCTTTCCGTATATAGTTGAAGTTGTGTTTAAAGACAAAATTCATATCAAATGTATTACACTCCCAAATAGCTCGGTTTCCTTTGATAGGCTTTACTTTCTTATCGATTGGTCGAAAATTCTGAGTCTAATTTCCCCACTGACACTGTTAATGTTTACAAACGATCTAAACGCCAGGCCCGACTATTTGCTGGGCCGGTTTTTAGAGGAATCTACCCCTTTTCCAGATTTGGGGGAATAGTTTTCTTTTATTGATTATTTTTGTATCACGATAAATGACAATCTTGAATGTATCGCGTTAATCCAGTCATTATATACAAAAACATACTTGTTAAAAATAAGGCCTCACCTACAGGTCATCAGATTTTACACATCAGGAATTACACATAAAAATAAAACAAGAATATTATAGACAAAAGTAAAGAAAAATTGAAAACACAGGTTACTCATTTAAGAGCGTATACGTATATAAGTTTATGTTTTACATTTTGATTTCAATTGCTTAAATCTTTTTTATCGCAGATGACGCTAGTAGAACATTCTCAATGGCCAAACTCACGATTGTCGCCTCTACAGTTTGATAAATGCTTAGAAAATTCTTTAGGTGAACGGGAAAGTTATGAAAATATTCATTAAATTTGAATAACCTGTTTTATAACACCTAAATTAACGAGCAATTGTATCATTAACAAACAATTTCAACAATATGAGGAATTTGAAAATTGACAAGTATATTTATATTATCTTATTTAGATATGGAAATTGAGGCTTAGAACTTTTGTCTTTAATCTCCCAATTTTATCATTTTTCTCTGAAAATCAGAATATGGAGAAATTGAAATCCCTCCTGCTGCAGTAAGTGTTGCAACATATGAGATACATGGACCCCGTCTAATGATCACACACATCGTCAATGAAAATTTCAAGTCCTACGCAGGTGTTCAATCTCTCGGACCCTTCCACAAGGTAACTGATATAGATGTCAGTCTCTTGATTGAAGTTGTGTGATAACTGCTGATTTTCATTTTAGTTTTATCTTTTTTTCTCTAAAATGTAATCTTGATTTATAACATGCTATGAATTATACAATATATATTTGTTTTTAAAGAGAGTCATTGTTTTTTTGATATTCAGAAAATGTTAAAACATAATCGTAAAACCATGATAATTATCAAAAGAATTCATTTCAGAACAATATAATCTTACCTTTCAGAATAGGACTTTGTGATATATGTACATAACATATGAATTGTGAGAAATTGCTGTTAGTGTCATGTGTTGTCTGAACCCTAACTTTTTTTTATTGAATGTCATCCCATTTAACTCATTCACCCCTGAAGACACATTTGAACTCTTCCAATTCAAAGATTGGAATAGTTCATTACAAAATTTCAGGGATGAATGAGTTAACATAGTTACCCTTTTATGTTCCAGAGTTTTACATCCATTATTGGACCAAACGGAAGTGGCAAATCTAATGTGATTGACTCCATGTTATTTGTGTTTGGATTCCGTGCAAACAAGATCCGCTCTAAAAAGATCAGTGTGCTTATCCACAACAGTGAGAACCACAAAGACATTCAGCAGTGTGCCGTCAGCGTTCACTTCCAGAAAATCATTGATACTGGGGTGTGTATAAAACTACTGTGACATAAGTTATACAGATACACAAACAGTGATTTTTTGCTCAGTTTTACAGTCGTATATAGGATTGCTCCCCAGCTGAAAAAGTGTCTTACTTTACCAAAAGACGATGAATGTATTTCCAATTTCAATAAAAATTGATGTTTTATTTTTCCCAATTTATAAAGAAATATGCTGTTGTAAAATTTAGGTAAAACAACACTGACAAAGATAAATGTATGTAGCAAGACAAAAAAAGTTAGTATTTTTACTATAAGAATAGATAATACAGAAGTTTTGTTGTTTGTTATGACTGTAGTTTTTACTAAAATCTTAGATTCAATCGTCAAACCTAGAGAGCTCTATGACAGTTTATGACTGGGCCTGGCAGTAAAATATTAGGCAGATCAGGAGACTGTAAATCAGCAAAAACTGTTTTGCTTAACAATATTATTTCTTCTTTGCCTTAAATTTGAAGGATTTTAGATAACAGATCAAAAGGCACGTAGACATTTTCTCCATGTTTGATTTTCTTTACAAATTACAGCCAGGAGATGACGAGTACACTGTGGTACCCGACTCTAAGTTTGTTGTGGCCAGGACTGCTTTCAAAGACAACAGTTCCTACTACACTGTGGATGGCAAGCGGCACACGTACAAAGAAGTGGCAGTAGTTCTTAGAAGTAGTGGCATCGACCTTGACCACAACCGTTTCCTTATCCTACAGGTACGATTTTATATTGAATCCTGCTTGTGGGAAAACTAGAGGAACAATAGTCCCAGGATTTGGGAATAAATCTTTTAGCAAATTTGAGGAAGTATTCTTTTGTAAAGCATGTTATGGAAAACGAAGTGTCATGGTTCATGTTGTTTGTTTATCACATTCACAACTCTTTTTCATATCAATGTTTTTCAATTCATTTCAAGAGCCATAATTTAGAAATAGGATTGTTATAAAAAGAATGTGGGGGAAAAAGTGATTCAGAAAAATATCAACGGGATGGACTTTGATTTTAGGGGAAGGATAGAATACAGACAAGAAGGGGTAACATTGTATATATTGTGAACAACATTTCTTGGTTTTATTTGCCAGGGTGAGGTTGAACAGATTGCCATGATGAAGCCCAAGGGGTTGACAGAAAGTGAAGATGGAATGTTAGAATTCCTGGAAGACATTATTGGAAGTAATCGATTCAAGGAACCCATTGATGTCCTTGCTAAACGGGTAGAAACCCTGAATGAAATGAGGGGAGAAAAGGTAAAGCTACTAAAGCTCTATAGTAACTGATGTTCTCTTTTAATTGCAGCGCGACTCTATCGGTCATTTCTGTGTCGTGGCCGTCAGTTGCGTGCGATAATGTTGAAAAACAAAAATGCATATCAAGATTAACAATTGATTACTGAACACAACACATACAGCATACAGTGAATGATACAATTACTATAACAAAACGACTGAAACAAGGTACAAACTTGATATATTAAAATAAATTGTTTGATTACTGCTTCTCTCTTGTTGGCAGTTGAACAGAGTCAAAGCTGTAGAAAAGGAGAAAGATGATCTAGAAGGATCCAAAAATGAAGCTGTGGAGTTCCTCAGTATGGAGAATGAGATTATTCGCCACAAAAACAAATTGTACCAGAAATATATGTAAGTTTACATACCACTAGGCAGTAAGTATCTTTTTGAGGGACCCAACCCTGGTACTGTATGAGAAATAAACAGTTTTCATCAATATCTGTCCCCTTAGGGACCCAACTCAGGTATTGTTAAAAGCTGACAGGGCTTTTATATCAGTTGGGAAGGAAATTTTTAGGAGTTAACTACAAATTTTGTGAATAAGGCATCAGTAGGAAACACTTCTAATTGGGACCAATTATCGGCCCCAAATAGTCCCTGCCAAATAACTAAATATGATTTTTATTACATTTTTGTCTGTCATAAAACTTGATGATATAGGTATCTTTCGCACTGTATCACATTTGTCATATATGACCTTAGCTGTCGTGTGCCCCTATCATAGACACTTGTCACATGACTTCAGCTGTTGTGCCGACCCATCATCTGTAGACACCGTCGTAACAGGACCTTATATATAATTAGCTGTTGTTAGGAGGTGAAAACCATAACATATAGACCTTAGAATGATCATCCCTGGTGTTAAGATAAAAAGGCATGAATTCCTGGGCAGTAAATTAAATGTGTCACTAATCATTTAGCCAATTATAGGTTTTACCACATGTGGAGTCAGTTGTATATATATGATACAATTACATAGCAAACATCTTTAAGGGACAAGATTAGTAAAATTTGCATTATCCTGGCCTCTGTTGAAAGTTTGCTTATTGACAATACTTGTTAAAACAAATGATTGCAGCAAGGAGTGTACTGTGAATGGAGACAAAGCCACAGAACAGTACAACAAAATCAATGAAGGGATGAAAGAGGTCAACGGCAAGATGCAGTCTATCACAGATGCCATGAAGGAAAAGGGCCATGAGCATAAACGCATCCTAAAGTATGGAATTATAAAACTTATTGTGTGTTTGAAAGTGTCCATCATTTACATGTATTATGTTTTTGTTAAATGCACTTGTCCTTTTTATAAATGAGAGATCAACTTTTCGTAATGAAACTTCTTCAATATGGCTCCACAAAGGCTCATTAAAATGAAGACGCATTTCATATTTTATGTCTATGATACTATGACATACTGTATACCAGAAAATGTTCGCCCTTAAATCACATATTCACCATGCACTAGTAAAATCATCTCAGCGCAGTGGTTCATCTATTACAGATGATTCATTTTATACAGGTATAATACACAATGTGTACTTATATTTGAAATCATGATAGAATTGTAGTATACATGTTTTGGTTGTATTATAATGGGTATTTCATCGATTAAAATGGACGTCTTTTATCCAAACTCTAGGCAGTATGAAATGTTGGTTGTGAAAGGAGATGAGGCCAAGGAAAAATTCAGTGATTTTGAAAAACAGGACGTAAAATGTCGAGAGGACATGAAACACACCAAATCCAAAGCTAAAAAGCTGGAGAAGGCGTTGGAGCAGGAGAAAAAGAAGGTATGTTTAGATACACGCTTAGAACCGTTCCAGTGATTCTTACAGCCTAATACAGGCTGTTTTCCCTAGCCAAAAAGTGCCTTATTTTCCCAATTCATAAAGGAACAGGCTGTAATAAAATTTTAGTAACAAAAACACTGGAACCAAAAAGAAGTTAAGAAAGGAAAATATTACTGAAACGAAAAAGAGAAGAATAAGAAAGAAGAACAAAATTAGTTTAAAAGAAAGGTTTGGGGAAAATTCATGCAAAGCAATAAACCAACGTCACCTGATTGTTGATCAGATTTTTGTCTGCTCAAGGATCCCAGTACCAACGCCAAAAACCGGTGAACTTTTCATTGGAAACTTTTTTCAAGTATTATATAACTTTGATTATTCATTCTAAAATGATACCTTGTGAAACTCTTATGACAAAATAATAAAGATGAATTACACAGATAAATAAACCTTTCTGCACAACAGGCAAGTAAGTTGGTCAACGAAACAGACCTGATATGAAATGTGTCCTTCACAATTTTCCCAAAAGTATACTGTAAAAATGCAGTAAGTCCAAGGAAGGATTCGAACACTGGACCTCCAATCGTAACATTGTTGCTCTAATCAACTGAGCTACCTGGGCAGTGCTAGTACTCAGGCAATTTTTTGCTAGATATTTCCAAATCAAAATTTAGTGACCGTTACTGTATGAACGAATAACAAGGGTGGAATTTCTTGTTTGACTGTAGTACGACATGGATCTGTAGTCAATTTGACCTTCGGAAATAAAAAGATGTTACTTTGAAAAAAAAAGAGTAACAGTAATTTTTTCTTTCACAGGTGGAAGAATTCAATGCTATGCCAGAGCAGACAGAACAGGTTATTGCAGATCATCGCCGAAAATTAGAGAGACTGGAAAAAGACAAAAAGAAAGAGGAAGAAAAGCTTGCTGAAGTGATGGAAAGCTTGAAGACAGAGACAAAAGTAGGCTACACATGCGAAACAACAGCTGTCGGTCATTTTTGAAAACATTTAAAATCTTTTTTTTCATGGGGGTTAAAGCATATCATACTTCAATAGTATAATTAAATATCATAAATCCAACATAAACGTTGTTTGGACAGAAGAATTTCATGAACAGAGAGTGTTTTACATATATATTGTATTGGACATTTTGCTGTTAGATGTTGTATAATCTTGACTATCTAAAGTTTCTACCTATCATTCAAGTTTAGGAATGAAGTGGGGTGAATATTTCCATTTTTACATATCTTAATTTATCAAACAGAAGTATGTATAGAAATAAATGTTATAATTTTAAGTGAAAATAATTCAAAGTTCATCTTGGGAGGTGGGAGAGGCAATTATTTTTGGAAGTACCTAATATGGTTTTATGATATTTTGGTGTAGTCCTATAGCTAAGTGTTTTATATTCCTTTACAGGGTCTACAGGAAGAGAAGGAGAAAAAGGAGGAGGAGTTATTGGGACTTCAGAAATCAGTCAATGATACCAAATCAAAGGTAGGTTGGAGGTTAAAACTGGTAGAATAAATATAAATGAAAGGAGGTGCAACAGTTTCAACATACAAAGACCAAACTCAGAACATAACAGAGGAGAAACCAAAACGACAGGAAAGATATTAGCCCAAATAAAATACATAGGCAAAGGGAGGTGGTCCAGACATGAATTTGAAAGGCCCATATCAACTTAAGTCCAAATGATAGGTATTGGTGTTTTCTTTTCAACTGCATATTATTTATATTATAACAACTGAAAGGTTATATTAATCAGACGTTTTGTGGACTATCATCAAACTCAGAAGTACCAACAGAAAATGGGGCTGAAGTGAACAAAGGAACAATACAAACAGCAGCTTTTTGTTATAACTGGGAGAAAATTGATTACACTTCCACAAGAATTGATTCATGAGAAGGACATAAAGATTTTAAAATAACAGTCTCCCTTTTTATCTTCCAGATATATGAAGGGACTTTGATTATAGTATTGTACAGTTCATATTTACTGTGTTCACAGACCTGTGCAATTGGGTATCATCTACTTATCAGTGAAGGTGTAGATGCTTTAATACTTTAAATAATGTTCTGTGATAGTAAAGTAAAATGTTTTAAATCAATAACTACCCAAAATTAAGAATATACTGAAAGCATTTTGTTAATGTTTTTCTGTGCTTGGGTTATCTTAAGCATGCAATTTTTCTGAGCACCACTGCCTATGATGTTTTGTGTATACTTTGTATGTTTGTAATGCCGATCGTTGAATGTGAATTTCAGTTAAACATTGCCCAGTCAGAGCTGGACATCTATCTTAGTACCCAGCAGAGTGAGACCTCCAAGTTGGAGGAGATGCAGAGAAACCTGAACAAAGCCTCTACCACCGTCAAGGACAGACAAAGGTCAGTACTTTCACACTGTCAATGATAGATTTTTCTGTTTCCAAAGAACGTCATACAGAACGCATTTCGTTTAAAGTTTTTCTCATTAGACTGTCCTCTTTTCCAGAAAGTTTGGGCAACTGTTAAGAAGCCATTTCAATAGTGTTAAATTGTAAACCTTTGATATCTTTACAGTTTTGCCAAAACAATGCCTTCCAAAAGATGGGGAGTGTACATGTAGAGGACATAACATATGGAAAACATTAATTTGATTCAGAGTAGCTGGGAAGATATTTTGACTTTTGGAATATTTGATATTTAAATTTATCAATTTGGAACGATAAATGCCTTGTGATATTCTGTTCTAATAGTTTCTTGATTTTAAAAATAAAACAGGAGTAGAGGAAGAAACAGGAAGTTTTTGGAAAGGGCTGTAATATGTTATCACAACTTGTGCCCTATGCTTTTCTTATAATTTTACCATAAATATGTTTAAACTTAAATGGAAGCGATTTTGGGAAAATATAGGAAGAAATTCCAAAAAGAGGGGAGGGGGTACACCACATGATTTTTTTTTATGTCAGAAATAGCTTTTATGCTGTTTGTCCAATGTCACTTTAGATTCCATATCTTTGCTTTCTGTACTTGCATTTCTCTAACCATAAAACTAGTATTAACACTGATTCATAATTATTTTTTTATCTTCATCATCACAGTTATTTAAAAGATCTCAAAAGGAAGCTTCCTGAAACAGAAAACATTATTGAAAAAGCCAAGAAGGACATGGAGCTAGCAGCAACTACAGAAACAAAATGTGCAAACGAGGTAAATTTTAAGGAATATGTTGATAATTTAAGCTTCGATTTAGTATTTCAGTAGTAACTTTGTGTTCTCTTCTGGCTAAAAATGAACTTTAAGTATTCGGTCTGTCATCGGGCTTCATCAATCAGTCATTGTGTGTTACATGTTGTCAATTAAAAACCTACATTTTCCACTTTGTCTCATAAACCACTGCTCCATTTTCAATATTTTTTTTGCAAGAAGCATCCATGGCCGAAACCAAAACAAAATTGTACATTATATGGTTTCCACCCCCAATTGTCCTTGTGTCACAAATTTCCCCTTGGGGAGGGGTAATGTTTACTGGGCTAGCAATTAATTTCACAAACAACTAGTCTGTTGGGCTAGTAGTTTCCAACTTCACTAGTCCATGTGTAAATTACACTTACCCAATTTTATTCAACATGGTTACTAATACCAAATTTTGGCTAGTCAATCGGGCAAACAGTTTAAGAATTGCTGAAGATTTAACTAGTCTCAGACTATCAGACTACCCTTATTGTCAAGCCCTGAGTTATACAAGTCAATATTACTTTCAGGTATCCAGGGAAAAGTTCAAACTCCACTGGAATTATTGTGATGTGATGCTATGGACCCTTAATTCTGCTAAAGCATTGTTTCTGCTTAATAATTCTATTGACTTCAAACTCTGTAACAAATTAATAGGAAATCTGATCAACAGAGATCACACAAATGTTTGGTCAGTGACTAATAAACAGAGATCGCACAAATGTTTGGTCACTGACTAATTACCAGAGATCACACAAATGTTTGGTCACTGACTAATAAACAGAGATCGCACAAATGTTTGGCCACTGACTAATAAACAGAGATCCCACAAATGTTTGGTCACTGACTAATAAACAGAGATCACACAAATGTATGGTCACTGACAAATAAACAGAGATCACACAAATGTTTGGTCACTGACTAATAAAAAGAGATCACACAAATGTATGGTCACTGAATAATAAACAGAGATCACACAAATGTTTGGTCACTGAATAATAAACAGAGATCACACAAATGTTTGGTTACTTGGAATACGATAGATGTGTAATGTAACCCTTCCCTTGTTTTAAATTTTAGTTGAGAAGTGTAAGATCTAAAGTAGAAGAGGCACGAAGTTCTATGCAGGCAGCGAGGAGACAAGGCAAGGTGATTGAGGCTCTGATGGAGGCCAAGAAGCGGGGAGTGATGCCAGGTGTCTGCGGACGATTGGTAGGTGTAGCAGCATTCAGTATTATCTATACTGCGCACAGATGTTACGACTGCCAAACGAAGAGAAAGATGAAATCTAGTACATTTTGCAGCTAGACTGTTAAGAAAATTGTATTGCCTGGCCATTGTAGGCCAGTTAAAAAACCCAGAAACTTACTTTTACAAAGTACTTGTAGTTTTGTCATTCACAAATACACTGTTCAGAAAGTAGGTAGGTATAATTTTGTCTCCCCTTCAAATGACAAAACAAATTTCTATTTATTATGCACTATATGGAAACTAGTTATATGTAGGTATAATTTATCCTGCACCATATGGAAAGTGTAGGTAGGGAAAGAAATGACAATAAAATCTTACTGAACAATCATGAAGAGAAGGCTATCAGTTCTTGATGGCTTGGTAAACGATATTTCTTATTGAACACTAGGGGCATCCAAATCCATTCTGATTCAGTTTCTTCACTTTAGCAACTTATTTTTGTAATGGACTTTAATTAAACCTTTTTCCTTGTGCAGTGATAAATCTATATGCGAGTCTGCAGTCAAACAGATTTGTTATTGACCTCCTAAAATATCTGGAAGTGTTAAGTTATTACGGACCCATTGTTTTAAACACTACTGGAGAAAGTGCCCCCTTAAAAACAAAAGTTGGAGTAATTGATGCTTTTTCTGTAGACAAACTGTTAACCTGGTAACTTGTATGTAAACGGAGAAGCGATGAATAGCGTTGACATAAACATATGTAAATAGAATGTCATAAGAAAGCTCCACATTACACATGTACATTAGAGTTTATACCTGGCCCTGCTGCTCCTCATTTTTTCTAACACCTTATTTTTGTTCAACATTAATATTCTTGAGATGAATTTGACTGTCACAGGGTGATCTTGGTGCCATTGACATGAAGTATGATGTTGCCATATCAACGGCGTGTGGAGCTCTTGACCACATCGTGGTGGACACCATCAATACAGCCCAGCAGTGTGTCCAGTTCTTGAAGAAAAACAACATTGGGTCTGCTACCTTCATAGGACTCGAGAAAATGGCCAAATGGAAGGAACACACCAAAAGGAAAATAACTGCGTACGTGTTGACAGTAAAATATTTTTTGTGTATTTGTAATACATGTCACTAGGGTCCCTTAACCCTTTCACCACTGTAGACCATAATGGACTCATCCAGATTAAAGCATGGGAGAGTTTACTAAAGTTACATAGAGGTGAAAGGGTTCAGATCAAGCATTTTTGTGGTTTAAAAAACAAAAACAAAAAAAACAAGGTTACCCTTTTCACTGTATGGAATGTCCTAATGTGATTAATGTTAATATTTAAAATTTAACTTGAAAATCCATGAACATGTTTCAATGGAAATTAAAATTAGTTAGGAATGTTGTCTTTCAAGAATATCATTTAAAGTAAGTTTGTTATTAAACATAGTCAAAGTTACATAGTATAGTAAACCTATAACTACTGATTCTATAGAAAACCTTGTTTTTAATGTTGATAAAAAATCTGTTAACACAGTCCAGAAAATGTACCTCGCCTATTCGACCTTGTGAAGACAAAGGATGAAAACTACCTTCCTGCCTTCTACTTTGCCTTGAGGGATACACTTGTAGCCAATGACCTTGAGCAGGCCACAAGGATAGCCTACGGCAAGACTCGCTACAGGGTGGTAACACTTCAGGGCCAGCTCATCGACCAGTCAGGTAGGTGTGTGAGGGCGATCATTAGGCCAGACATGCTGGTAGGTTTGTAGGAACCTAGTTAGGATCCCGCATCAGATGCCCGATAGTTATCATGGTGCCCTTTGTCTGTCCACTCTTTGGTTTCCAGAGATTATCTCAGAATCCAGAATACAAATGAAAAAATTGACATGTCAGGGCTTGGCAATAAGGGTAGCCCGATAGTCCTGGACTAGCAATTCTAAAACTGCTAGCCCAACTGACTAGCCAAAATTTCATATTAGTTATCATTTTGAATAATATTAGGTCAATATAACTAGTATAAGGTTGGTGGAATATAAGGTAGAGCACATATATAGGCTAGTGAAATTGGAAACAAGTAGCTCAACTGATTGGGGGGTTTTCACATTAATTGCTAGCCTTGTATATATTGATACACTAATACATGTATTGATGCAAAATGAGTTTTAAAAAGTTGGCACATGATAACAGCATATATAAAAACACCTAAGAGATATAACATTGATGTTTGTTGATAGTTATTTACTATACCTGTAAGTAAGACAGTGTTTATAGCTGGTAGGTTGTCAGATGGAGTCACATATATATATATTTGTATATCACATGATTAACAGTAGATGTGCCATCAACGTTCTTTTAATGGGCTGAACATTTCCAAAAATTGTGTTATAATGTATGATTATATACCCCTTGTAGGTACCATGTCGGGCGGAGGGAAGTCTGTATGTAAAGGAAGAATGGGCTCAGCTCTTGTAGCAGATGTTGACCCCAAGGAGCTGAACAACTTGGAAAACTCCCTGGAAAAGCTGGCAAGTGATGCCCAACAGAGTCGGGCTAACAAAGAGAGACTGGAGGACCTGATCCGAGAGCAGGAGAAATCCCTAAAGAATACTAAACACACTATCGACAAGTGTGAGATGGATATTAAGGTAGGAGCTTGTAGGAGTCGGCTTTCATAGAGACTCATGTTATACTGTGTGCATGCTTGCTGCTGATCAAAACATGTTTTGAAAAAATTAAATTAGTTTCAAAAAGTATGATTAAACATTTGAAAGGCTACATATCAATAAATCGTAAAAGAGATTTTAACCTTATTTGACAAAATGCACATTGGCCTGATTTAAAATCGTTGATTGCTACCATGACCTCTGATTGGCTATTAAACACTTCTTTAACTAACTCTAAAATGTCAAAAGTTGATACTAACAGAATTGGTGCAAATGTGACTTATTGCCCTCCCCAAGTGTTGTTATTGTACTGGTTTGGCAAATCCAAAATGCCCACTGCAGTCTCCAATTATGTGACACATCTTCAAGTTATTTTATAGTTCACATTTAACAAACAAACGCAAGTAACAGCACAAGCTCCATGGGACTCTTGTTCAACAAAGGACAAACGAATCATGATTATTCAATTGTTCTAAATACAAATATTTATATTTTTTATTTTTATTTTATTTTTTATTTTTACAGGCAATGTCGGAGCAGGAGACAACCTTGACCTCACAAATCAAAGAACAGGAAGCCAGGGTCAAGGCTGCAGCACCTGATGAGAAGGAGCTCAAAGAGCTGGAGAAAAAAGTTGGAGAATACAAAAAAGGTCTATATTAATAGCTAGTTAACAAAACATTCAATTATTTAACAAAAGCAAAAAACATTAAAGGTTACTTTGGTAACAGACTATTAAACAAATAGATAATAATGAATTTGTTACGTTTTGTAAAATTGCCTTTTTAGTATCTTGTGGCTAAAACAACCAATCAGGTGAGGATATCCCTCTTCACTGAATAAATCATCAATCATTGCTAAACATGGAAAGGTGCTCTCATCTGTTATACCGTTTTGTTTATTTCAGAGTATGAGAAAGCCTCTGGGGTAGCTGCCAAAATTGAAAAGGAAGTTCAAAGGTCAATTACCCAGTGTTATTATTTATACTTTCTCTTGATGCATCAATATCCATTATTTAATTGAAAAAAGTAATTGACAGTTTTTCCAAGACTGGCAAATATAAGTTGTGTTCTAATTTACATATTTCTTTGTTATTGAACATGGTTTTTGTAGTAAATAGAAGTGCAAAAAATACATTGAAACCTTGGTTGATTACAATGCTTTGATGGCAAATTGATCAATTTGATAACAGTTTGCACTAGTACGTAAACCAATCAATGTTTTCATACGTCCAAAATGATATAACTTGTAAGTTATGATTAATGACTGCTAAGCAATTTACACCTGTGAAATCTGTACATTGATGTGTAAAAACAATTATATTAGTAAAGTGTTCTTTTAGTTAATGATGATTGGAAGCCAAAAGGCTCATCTTTTTGGAATTCAACATGGTGATACACTGCGATATTTAGATCTGCAGTAAGGATTTAAAAAGTGTCTAAGGTCAAGGTTACTGTTACTAAAAATATACCATTGGAAATGGGGGTTCTAGCTTCATTTTTATTTCTCCACTACATGCTGGTAGTGAAGGAGGCATTTAGTGACTGCCTTCTCTGTCATTCTGTAGGGATGGCGTTGCTATTAACAGCATGTTAAGAATATTTTCCTACTGTGTTATATTTACAAATGGCCTCTGTTTTGTAGATTACACAATGAGATCATGGACATTGGTGGATCTAAGATGCAGGCTGTCCAGAGTCGAGTGGATGCTGTGTCAAACCACATTGACCAGATCACTGGTCAGATCACCAAGGCACAGGTTGGCCTGAAAACTACAGCAAGGTATATATATTTCACTCTCCCTGCCAAGTATACATTAACTTGGTAATACCTTTTGTTTAAGTTTTAAAATTATTTCTTTTTTTTGGCCTGAGATTGAATTAGCATCAAGGTCATTGCTGTAAATGTAGATACATATAGATGTAATGAGCATACATAAAAACTCATATAAAATGAAAATAAATTTAAGATATTTTTTATCACATAACTCAAAAAACTTACATTTTGACAGGTTTTAAAGCCAAAATATAGAGGGCTTATAAATCAAACGGAGACGGCCATTTTGTTGCGCCATTCACAATTTATGACGTCACGTCATTGTCCATGGATGTTATGACGTCACAATCGATTTCTAACTGGCACAGCCAATGAAAATCGCTCCAGGGTATATTACACTAGTGACATGTGTAAAATTATTACACGGGCGAATTCACTGGATAACAGGCCGATTATGTGATAAATATATATACATGTGTATACTTACTAGAACGTTTGTAGGTGCAACATTAGGTCCTTAAACATTTTATGTACCAGGAAACTTTTGCCTTTTTAGCCCTCCCCAATGAGGGTGAATTTATCATCCAGCGAACATTAGTGAACAACATAATAGACCTAGTAAGAAAGTTTGCTGGATTGACGACCAGTTTTCATTTGTTGTTGATTTAAACTTCTTTTGGATATACATTTGTCTCCTACTTCCAACATCAATATTCCAGCACCATAGGAGACATGAGGAATGACTTAAAACAGAGTGTAATATTTAGCATAAAGAATCAACATTGGCAATCACTATTAGGGGTGATCAATGGTGGAGGTGACCACTGGGTGAGGGAAACCGCTTGTGGGAGTGATTACTGGTGAGGGCAATCACTAGTATAGAAAAAAACAGTACAATATTATAAAAGACATAAATAATGAAGATGTTCTTTGTAGAAACCTGAAGAAGGCAGAGGAGAAAGTGGAGTCAGTGGAAGAAGAGATTGAGGAAAACAAGAAAAGGATGGCTGAGCTGGATACACTCTTCAAACAGCTGGAGGAGGATGCCACGACTGTACTGCAAAACTACCAAGATTTAAAGGTAGAGAAGAAACAGCTTTGTTTTAGTACACCCGATCTTGGGAGTGTTTCGGGGTGGTCACTTGGTTTTAAAAAGTAATCAGTTCAATCATGAAATTGGATGGCTCAAAAAAACACCATTATACATCCTTTACTGTGATGAATACAGCTTTTAGATAGACCATACAATTTTGGTGTGTATACTTACTTATTTTATGCCCTGCCAAGATGTGGTGCGGGGCATTGAGTGTTACTCTTACATGTACCTATGTAAATCACACAAAAGTTCATCCATTTAAGTTTTCAAATTTACAATGTCACCTGTGTAATATGAATCCTGAAACTATTCAGCAATCGGTGTACACCAGACCTCAATTCAGTCCCACTGTATGTACTGCTCTGTGAATCATGTCTTGATATAAAGAAAATGTTTCTATTCAGATCAAAATGATTAATTGGTATTTATGGTATTCAGTTTAGAAATGGTGTCACTTACTTTATACAATTTGTAAAATTTTAACAAGTAAGAAATTAAACTGGATTTGTATGCCGCCGCTATAAATTTGGGGGGCATATAGTGTTGCCCATGTCCGTCCCGTCCTGTCCCGTCCCGATTCAATGTAAAACACTTAGCAACTTTAATCTTTCACAGATTTTCGTCAAACTTTATACAAAGGTCAAGTATGAGTATACGTCGGACATCGTTGTGTTTCAGGGTTCCAAGGTCAAGGCCAAGGTCACGGTTGCTATATAGGGGGCATTCATGTCTTACAGACATTTTCTAGTTTACTAATAAATTTGTATATCCCCACCAAAAGAAACTCGCAGATGGTATAACACCAATCAAGGTAAGGAATGTCAAATCTCTAGCTGTGATATAACTCTAAAATGTAAGTTTAATGCTCTAGGACAAGATTAAAGAGGCAGACGATGAGCTGACTGGGGTGAAAGCAGAGATCGCCAAACACGAGGAGGAGCAGAATCAGCTACAGAAAGAAGTGGTGGACGTTAGACATGAGCTGGAAAAGTTTGATGGAATCGTCAAATCGAATCAACAGAAAATTAAACATTGGAAAAAGGAGGTTAGTTGTGGTGTGTTTAAACAAATCCTGTATGTTTGCTACATTTATACATCTGCCTTCAAATCATGAGGACTGCCAATTCTATGTATCTCTCCCATGATAATCATATGTCTCCCCCTATTGTTTAAGGAATGGTTCTTTTTGTGGTTCCTCTGATAATTGTTTTTTTTAGCCATAACTTTTAAACCAATACTAGTATCTCAATGAAACATGAGGTATACCTGCATCATCTACAGGAAATGTGCAGTGCACAGTCACTAGGTCAACTTTGACCTCAAAAGTTTAAAGGTCAAATAAATGCAAACTTTTCAGTTGTATCTTTTAAACATTTATGGTATTGTCACCTTCCATGTCGTCACTTTTTTTACCACAATTATTCCTATATGCATTTTATAATTTATTAACAGGCACTTTCTCTAAGAACATAAATGTATTGAAGAAATTTTAGACACATGTTTTTTTCACTTTATGAGCATATTTATATTTTGTTAAGGAAGGGGAAAGTAAATTGGCTATAAGGGGGTGACATGTATTTTGTTAACAAAAACAAACCTCTTGTTCCTTTTTGATCAAATTCCTTTAATAAATGGATTTAACAAATGCACTTAAATCCACTTAAATATCGTCACCTAATTATAATTATATAATGTTATGTTTTAAGAAAGGTTACGTGATTACTTTGCAGATGGGGCAGCTGACCTTGACCCCTATAGAAGGTAAGGAAGAGGCTGATTTGCCAACTATTGAGGATGAAGAGCTGGCTACCATTGACAAGGAAGCCGTTCAGTATGAGATCACCGTCCTAGAGGAGAAACTGGCTCAGATGAAACCCAACATGGCTGCCATAGCAGAATACAGGAAAAAGGTTTGGAACTTTGTATAGCATTCATCCATAGCAGAGTGTTTTATATTAAAAAAAAATGCAAATGTGTTTTTTCTAGTGTTGGGGAAAAAAATATAGAAAAGAGGGAATGCTTAATTAAAAAAATGCTCATTGTATTATGTATTATTCAATACAGTATTTTCTTCGAGTTGTTAAACTGGACACTTTCCAAATATATAGATAACACAGGAATTATTTTAGTCAGAACATCAGTTAGTATCACTAAGAGATATCATGATCTTCATTGACCAAATTTGCAAAATGCTCATAACTAAAGCCACATTTAAATGTATATGGATAGGCAGTTATATACACATATTATTTAAAGAGAGAAATTATACACTGAAAAAAATCTTCGTCTTGACAGATGATCAATTTGATTTTCTAGGTATTAAGTTCAGTATAAACCTAAACAGTATAATTGTAATATACAGAGTGTGCCAAACTAAATAATTAAAGGAAATCGGGGCAGGTATCTGAAACATTTTGCCGGTCTGAGGTGACTTTTTTTCAGACATGTCCAACAGAGTTAGGCACACACTGAAAATATTATGAAGAAAAGAAATAAAGTAATTGATTGATTCTCTAGTCCAAAAGGTACCATGGACACTGGATAAGATAACAGCAATCGAAAGTGTGATAAAGGCAAAAATAGATCTAGTAGCAACATTATCAAAATTAAAGAATTATGTTAAAAATAATAGATATAAACATCAGTACAGAATATATTACAAAAAATGTAAATATGAGCAATCAGTATGTACGTTATAGCAATAAAACATGAATGATACAAAAGGAATCAAAAATGTTTTTTAAGTGAAAGGGGACAAAACAATTAAAACCACTCATTATATCTGTGAAACCAATGCAAACAACTTATTATTATGTAAACAATTTACAAATGTATTTTGAAGACAGCTTTTACCTTTTATTCTTTACATCCAATAGGAAACACTGTACCTGCAGCGTGTAGGCGAGCTTGACCAGATCACCGACATCCGGGACCGACAGAGGAAGTATTACGAGGATCTACGTAAACAGCGGCTTGATGAGTTCATGGCTGGCTTCAGTGTTATCACAAACAAACTGAAGGAGATGTACCAGATGATCACTCTCGGTGGGGATGCAGAACTGGAGCTTGTCGACTCCCTTGATCCATTCTCAGAAGGAATTGTGTTTAGGTAGGTCACAATGTACTCATTGTAAATGACCGTTTGGATGTTTAGACAGAAGAAGCTAAGGTTAGGTGGAACACCGGTGTTGTAAGAAAGATTTTGGGTACTTGTTCAAAATTGATAACTTTAAAAGTTGTTCATTTGACAATACTTCTTGTTTTTAAATGCCCGTCAAATTTGATGGGAGTATTATGGTATGGAGTCGTCCGTCCGTCCAGCGTAAACTTTTGTTTGTCCAGAAATCTCCTCCTACATTTTTCGAACGATCTCTTTGAAACTTGGTATTCATTATAATCGTGATATGAAGTTGTGTCTCTCTTAAAAGAATTTTGATTCAACAATTTTACCAAAAGTGATTGCCCTTTGTTTATTTCAGTATTTGATTTTTTGTCCAGAGATTTTCTCCTACATTTTTTATAGCATGTCAGCTAACCATTCTTAGAATGATGCAGATCTTATTTCAATGTAAGAAAGTATATAACACTATATGGCATTCGACGGGTGTATATTGTTCAGCCCCACGGTACTCTTGTTGGACGATATAGAATGGGAGATTTTTTAAGACACCATTGCCTGTTAAGTAAAATACATAAATCTTTGGAAGATATAGAAGGAATTTATAGCCCAATACATTTATTATTCCCCCAACCAACCAGTCGCAGCGATACAGTGGCACGGAATTCCATCTGTCTGTCTGTAATAAAAAAAACTAGTGTAAAAGTTATCTCACGAACCCCTCAACATTTAGTTCATATTTACATCATAATATAGTAACAAGGAGTTCTACACCTGATAAAATGTTGGTGGTCATCAGTCAGGGTTAAAGGGTCCAAGATCAAGGGTATAGTGGTGGGCGGTGTATCTTGGTAAGCACCTGCTCAGTTTGATTTTATTTCTGTTACAGTGTAAGACCACCCAAGAAGTCGTGGAAGAATATCTCCAATCTGTCCGGAGGAGAGAAGACTCTCAGCTCACTAGCCCTGGTATTTGCCCTGCATCATTACAAACCTACACCTCTGTATGTTATGGATGAGATTGATGCCGCTCTCGACTTCAAGAATGTCTCCATTGTAGCTAATTACATCAAGGTATGTCGTTATGTAACAAGTTCTTTGTATTGGTTTTGTTTGTTATTTGGGGGTTTGGTGTCCTCGTTACAGCGTAGGCCATCCTTAAAAAACTGATGTCAGTTTAGGTAAGGATTTTTATTTATTTATTTTAGAAATCTCATATTTCTATAAAAAAAAAAAAAGCCCTAAGTATCAGTGATTTTACCAAAAGTTCCAAATAAATTTTGAGTAGACGCCGTTTCTAGTAAGTCGGTAGAGAAACTGCAAACAAACATTTTTTAATGATTCGCTGTCATGATACACTTTACTGCTGGTGATGCGATGTGTATCACAGTGTTGGTGCCACAATTTGATTACTCTTGAAATAAAATGACAAATTTTTGTTTTCTACACAACACTTGAATCTTAAAGTAACTACAGATTCGAAGATCCTGAGTTCTTGTGTTATTTGACCGAGTTTTGATCACAATGCAAACTAAATTTGCTTATACCCATTAAACTATTACATAAAGTTGTGACTTTTGAAATTTTTCACTTCACAAATTCTCATGAAGAAATTTTTGAAAAGTGAAATGAAGTGCTTTAATATTGAACATAGCCTCCCATGCGATTTGTTCTGAAATAGCCATTATTATATGTACAGTGTATAGTAAACCTTGTACAGTAATAGTGCTGTTATGGGTCCATCCAAGCAACTCTTTAGGTGAACTGTCTTAGGTGTCCTAGTTACTTACTGAAGACTTGATCTTTAATGAGTGGTTCTATAATATTGTTGTTAAGGTTTTATATCATTTGAAATGTTGAAAATAGTCTATATATATATATTGTATCAATTTTTTTTTTTTTTTAAATGTAAAAAAAAAAAAATGTCATGTACTTCATCTGTTTTATATTTTGTATTTACAGGAGAGGACAAAGAACGCCCAGTTCATCATTATATCGCTGAGGAATAACATGTTTGAATTGGCTGACCGCCTTGTTGGCATATATAAAACAGACAATTGTACAAAATCTGTAACCATTAATCCAAACCGGCTAACGCAACCTCTTAGTGTCGCATAACCAATAATCCTGATCAGCTGACACAATCTCTCAGTGCTGAGTAACTTCCGCCTATATAACACCTGTCACAAGCTGTCAGGACCACGCAACCATCATCTCCAGCCGGCTGACACCTATATAACACCTGTCACAAGCTGTCAGGACCACGCAACCATCATCTCCAGCCGGCCGACACAACTTCTGAGTGCTGCATAATCCGAGGACACAATTGGAAAAGAGTGTTTCCAACGACTGAAGTTGTATGACTTGTCGAAGCGGTGTTCTGTTATGATAAAGAACGCAAATCTTCTAGAAACACAGATAGAGATTTATTCTGACAACACACAAAACATATACAGGATTTACAGTCCTTATTTAGTCAGCTAGTGATATAGAGATACATACTTCATGCTGATGTATGTAAAGATACATAATTGTTGCTGATATATCTTCAGCCGAAGAATTTTCGTTCAGTATTAAAGAATGCTTAGATTACCTTCTTGACCTTTATATTAATTATCATATTTTGTTAAAATATGATAGCCATAGTTTCCCCTTTAACTCAAAAAGAAACTGTGATGGAATTTGAAAGTTATAGTTTTACAGTTATGCTTTGAAGGGAAAGATTCAATCATGTTTCGTTAAAATTACATACTTTTCTACATGAAGATATTTGCTTCAATGATCAATTAAAAATGAGCTGTTCATAGCAAGAGGTACCAAATTGAAGGTATAACATCATATCAGAGATCTTTAGATTAAGCAAAAAGTAATATGTTAAACCATCATGGTCGGGGAACATATTTATTTTATAACAAAGAAAAAGTAGAAAAAATTAGGATTTTGAGTATTTAAATGATAATATTTAGCAAAATACTGTGAAATCACTGATTTTTATGGGGTTTGTAACTCATTCACCCCTGAAGACACATTTGACTCTTCCAATTCAAAGGATTGAATAGTTCATTATGAAATTTCAGGGGTGATCTTCATTCACAAATTCATAGGTCCACAAAGTAATTACAAGTTGATAATAAGCAATTATCTTTTTGGGTAAGTACTCATTATCCACTAGATCGTGTACCCACAAAAGACGTCGCGATTGAAAACCACAAAATTTGGGCCCCATGAAAATATCTGATTTCACAGTAGGAAGTTTTAAACACATATTATTTTGTGAAGTTTTCTTTCTTGATTTATAGTCATTTATAAATTCTATATCTCTGTGGTAGTTGATGTATTACCCTTTGAAATTAAGATGGAAAATTTCATCATGATGTCCTTATGGTAATGTTGGCTTTCACTGATCCTTTCTGGAAGATGTGGTTGTTATGTTGTGTAAATAAACATGTTTATATTTTCACTGAGATCAATATATCTCAAATGGTAAATATAAGTTTGAAACTTTTTTCACATTTGGCATTCATAGTCATTATGATAGCCAACTGGAAATAATTATTTCAACATATAGAACTTGTAATGGATTTTTTTTCATTTCCAGTAAGCGTTCATATTGGTTGAAGGTCAGCTTGATGCAGTTCAATAAATAATCATTGGTAGCTTCGCACTACCTGTTATGAGCAAGTGTATATTTGTGAAGGTGTCTTGTACATATAAATATGCATTTTTAAAACAAGTGTGAAATTAATGTTATCATACTGTGCTATTTTTATATCCTTTTTTTCTGAAACTTTTCCACTTTCTTCTTTCTGTCTTTCCTTAATATAAAACTCGTAGATCGTTACTAGTAAGTAGTTGACAGATTAACAACAAAGACGTATAAAACACATCCTTGTAGTATGTATGTATTATACTCATCTTTTGTACATATTTCTAAATTTTGATTTGGTTATATCTTAGCCTGATTATATAAGTTTTCATAGCAAACTTTTACATTTGTGTAATGTAATTCACAATCTGCTATGTATGTAGAATACTATGATGTATTTAAGTATAGACTTCCACTTAAATACACATTTTAAAATAGAAATAATGAATATGCACATGAAGTAAATTGTTTTTACATGTGTGTAAAGGATTATATCATAATGATACAAATCTGCCAAAAAACTGGCACCAAATTGTTACACAGGAAAGGTCTATGTTGGAAATGTAAAAATATTTAACAGAATAACCAAATAAATGAGTAAATGAAAGAAAAAATGTTGCATACATGTTCTTTCTTCGTGAAAAACGACTTTTTTTTCTACAAGAGATGATCGCTGTCACTCAAGGAAGCCATAGTATATTATATATACTATTAAGAACGTCCGACTGCTATATTTGCAGAATCTCGAAAATGGTATTCTTAGCTCTATTTCTCAGATATTTCTCAAACTTAAAATGAAGGTTCTTCACGGTTCCTAGTTATGCATGTCAATTTTTGGGAATGATCGGCAAACCAAGATGGCCGACAGGTGTACCTTCTTGAACTTTAAGTGTAAAGTTTGTAAGCACTATTTCTCAGAAAGGACTTGAGGAATCTTTCTCAAGCTTTGCATGAAGGTTCCTAATTGTCCCTAGTTATCATATCGACTCATGAGACTGATCAGAAAACCAAAACGCCGTCTTGAATTTGGACAGTTCATTTTTGTTATAAACTATCCTATATGTATGTTTCCATTGGTCTCCTTTCTACCTTTGTCATAAATGAAAATAAAAATCACAAAAGACAAGAGTTTCTTCGACTTCCCTAGCGCTTTCTCCTCTTTAGAGATTCCTCAGGGGAGCTGTTGTATGTAGTAGCTGTACAGGGCGATAACAACAGTTTGAACAACTTTTTATACGAGAACAGAAAAGTGATAGGGTGAAACATTCCAAACGTTAGTAAGATGATTCAGTGTCCAAAGAGCGAACGAAGTATGAACAGTTTATCTTTGCCTGTTCATTCTTTCCCAGACATTTTTGTTTTCAAAATACGCAATTAATTTTACACATTATGTAAAATCATCTTGTTAAGCAAATTTCTTTGTCATTGAAATAGGAGCTTATTGTCACGATCGTTGTAGTGACGAGTGACATGGTGTACTGATACATATGTGCTGGTGTGATAATGAGAGTAGGAAGTTATAGATAACAATCTATCTCTGACACTGTGACAAAGTAAATGTCAGTCTAGCAGATAACCAGTATGGCGAGGTCAAATCCCAGGGAGTTAGTTGTATATCATCACCGGCAAACTCCACTTCTCCCAGCCTCCCAATGTGCAATTATATGGTCAATTGGATAAAGCTAGATTGTGATTGGTAAATTTTGACCCATGTCATTGACGGAAAACCACTGGTTTCGCTCAAGCTCCAGTCATTTCATTGCATCATTATATATATATATGTTTACAATTCATCGTCGCATTCGCTCATGTGATGCGCATCTCCTTGATACCATTGGGGCAGAGGTAAGGTCGTTAGACAATTAGGAACAGAAAAAAATACATAACCATCACAAGACATACGAAGAAGGAAAAATCTCTTTGAAAATCTTGTTTGTAGATACAGAAAGCCGTACAAAGTAAATATTTTACTGCATCATTTAGCCATTTCAATCCATTTACGACTAATCATTGGTATCATAGATACATTTATGTCTGAAGTGATTTAATACTTTTGCAAGTCTATTGACACTGTCTCGCATCACCGACTGCTGTACAGGATACGGGTCTATGCAGTAAGGTATTAAACATACACCAATGAGCTTCTAGGTGGCGGACACATATACCAAAGAGTCTGTGTAGATGAGACCTCCCGTGTACGGTAGAGAGTCCACCAGGGCTTACTTCTCGGACCGCTTTGCTTCTTCTTATACAAAAAACGAAAATGGACAAAAACATCCTCCACTCTGCGACTATTCGTCGAAGCGGTGACAGATGACATTAAAAACTGCAATTTTTTCATTCTGAGAGAAACACAGAACAAAACCAGCATCCCATGTCCTCTTTATGATGCGGCACAAGTTCGGTAACATTTCATTACTACGCTTACCTAGGATTTGAACTGTCGGGATATATCGATGCATAGCATAGAAAGATCACGGCAACATGATACAACAAGACACGGTTGAGATACCTCGCCGAATAACTATATGTACAATTTATTGACAGAGACAAAATAGTTGCGGAATAGTTTACTTAAAGATCCATGGGAAAGATACAGGCCCGTATGATCTCTTTTAACCAGAACTATCCCTTAATGTAGTAAGGACAGTGTCTTATTGTCTTATATAGTTTAGGATATCGTACATGTATGCTAGAAGTTTAGGACATGGCTGTATTAAAATTAAGGTCAGTGTCTCATTTAGGAAAGTTTAATACATTTACCCTTACATTTGTTGTGATGTTACTCGGCATTGTTGCACATGCGTAGTGAGGTGCCGTCCGCTGCTATGAACTCAGATAGCTTAAAGGTTAAAGTCATTATTTTCATTTTTAGATTTTGTGGTCGTTTAGCTTCATAGGATGTCGTCTGTATATTCCCCTGTTAACTATAACGACCGATTATTGCTGGTAAGAACGATTTCATATAAATCTTCCCAGTATTTTTTGGAGAGAAATGTGTCCAGAAACCTATTACGACTTTTTGTAAATTTATTCGGTAGATGTTTATGAGAAAAATGTTATCATAAAACAGCTGCCATGTTTTTACAGGTTTTCATTGTAAACAAAGGAATAATATCCACGGAATCTGATCACAAAATTGATGTCTTTAACCTTTACGTGGTCCAGGTCAATAGAAATTGACGGTCCTATAGTTCGCGTGTGAAACAAAATCCAGGACACATTTTTCTCTGAACAACCTGCTGGGCAGATTTAAATAAAGTCATGATATTTGTTTTCGCTGGCCCCAATCGGCCATCGTAAGCACGGCATTGTATATGCTAGTTTAATGGCAAAGATGTCTATAGGCTTTTTGTAGTGAGAATCGGAGTTCAGTACATAAGTTTAACTGCGTAGTATAATTCCATACGTGTTTTGGCTAGTTGGTTGGGTGCTACATTTCTATACTTCTGTCGGCTAGTTGGAGTGAGTGCAAGAATGCCGTTTAAACTAGTTCGAGTGAGTGCAATAATTAATAGTTAAAGTATGGGTATGAGGGATATAGCAAGTTTATGATCCCCCGAGGCCATGACTTTTTCCCGAGGCGAAGTCGAGGGAAATAGTCCTGGCCTCGGGGGATCATAAACTTGCTATATCCCGAAATACCCATACTTCAACTGTTTTATTATACCGATACAAACACTCCCTTATAATATTCTAAATATTATTAGACAACAAATTTTCAACAGTTGGGACACTTTATTAACAAAACTAAAATTTTCTTGAGAATCAACATCAGAAAAAAACAGTTTTCGCAATAACATGAAATAAAGGATATCACATGTACAATAAACAATAAATCACAGTTTTTGCTTGAAAATTAGCCAACTGTCTTTTGCCTCCAATATGTCCGACAACTCGCTCTCGTCCAACACAGAAAACCTGGGGGTCGCCATTTCTGTTGTCGTCTGTCAACAACAATGCGAGGTGAAGGTCGGTCCAGAAAGTACCGGCTCCGCTGGCCGGAAATTGCCGACGTCATTCGATTGCGCTGATTGGTCAATATTCGGTCAGGCCCCGCCTACGACGTCACTCAATTTCCTGCATTTTCCGAGGGAAATAGTTTCAAAACAATCGCACCCCTCCAGACGAACTATTTCCCTGGCATGCAGTTAGAGGGGAAATAACTTGTTTATGTGGTTACTTTTGTATAGTGTAAAATAAGTAGAGGTATAATAATACCGTTTAAGCTAGTTGGACGGAGTACTAGAATTCCGTATACTAGTTGGAGGAAGTACTAGAATTCTGTACACAAGTTGGAGGGAATACAAGAATTCCGTACACTAGTTGGACGGAGTACTAGAATTCCGTACACTAGTTGGAGGGAGTACTAGAATTATGTACACTAGTTGGAGGGAATACTAGAATTCCGTACACTAGTTGGAGGGAGTACTAGAATTCTGTACACTAGTTGGAGGGAGTACTAGAATTCCGTACACTAGTTGGAGGGAGTACTAGAATTATGTACACTAGTTGGAGGGAATACTAGAACTCCGTACACTAGTTGGAGGGAGTACTAGAATTCTGTACACTAGTTGGAGGGAGTACTAGAATTCCGTACACCAGTTGGAGGGAGTACTAGAATTCCGTATACTAGTTTGTGGGAGTACAAGAATTACCTACACAAGTTGAAGAGAGTGGTAGAATTCCGTGAATTATGTAGTTGGAAAGAGAAACAAATTTCATTCGTTAGTCGGAGTGTTTAGAACGAACGTTACATTCGGATTCATCATCTCGGAGAGACTTGTCGAAAACGGATACTAGTTTCTCTTTCAGAATAGCAATTCACACGGAGGTATTTTTGCACTGTGATAAATACGTCTCAAACTAATGTACTAGATGTTAATTTATATAGACGAGGAACTTACTTAAGGTAATAGGATTGTATCGCCATTTCTCAGTAGAATTTTAATCAAATTTTGTAGATATATTGCTTTGAAGTAAAGAAAATTTTCTGCCATAAAAAAATATAGGTTGTCAGAATTTTAAGGATTTTAAATGGAAATTTATGTAAAAAGGAGTGAATTTTGAAAAAAAAAATGAAACACATTTTTTGGCAAAATAATGTCATAAAAATGATACTGCCATATATTAGTATTGCATTAATGTATATCAATTTCGTAAATGCTGAAATTGTGTAAAATTAATTATCTATAAACGATCAAAATTGACATTTTATACACATAGTAGGTGCATGCAAGAGTTACCGTTCTTGAAAAACTTCACAGTAGTGAAATAGGTAGCCGGTTTCCTGAAGTACTGAAAAATGGACACATGTGACTCATTGATTTAAAAACAACTGAATTAATGCCAGGATTGCTTTGCAATACTTTAATATTGAAAAGAACACACTGTTCTGTCAATAATAAGCATACAATATTCATCAGTTTAATATTAAACATTAGAATATGCGGAAATTGTGATACTGTCTCCCTACATTGGGGTTTCAACTAGGGATGTACTTCCTATTTCCGTTTAGCAACACACTCCTATGACCTTAACCGTAACTAACCGTTATTATTGAATTATATCTTACGTATTTAACAAGCATTTTGTGAGCATTGATGAACCAATGCATGTCCCCTACGGGCCCCAAAACTTTAACCTGCAGATTTTGGCCAAGATAGTTAGGTTGAAAACATGTCACAAATTCAAAAAAAATTATTTTTATTTTTCCACTGTAAAATAACATCAATGCTAGACGCCTGAATAACCTCTGTACATAAAATCAGCATCCTAACACTATTATTAAGTGAACGGTGAGCCATTACAAAACTTTAACCCAAACTTTAGCCTGCAGATTTTGGCCAAGATAGTTAAGTGGAAAACATGTCAAAATTGAAAATAAATATATATATATTCCATTTGCAATCCACAGTATTAAGGCTGGACCCCTATAGAACCTCTATGCAAAGAATCAACATCCTAGCATCATTATTAAGTGTATGGTAAGCCATTACGAAACTTTAACCAAAATCTTGACCAAAGATAACGGACGGACAACTGACGGACCGACGAACGTCGCGACCGACAGACGAACGCAGACAAGAACTATAGTTCCCCCGGTTTCACCGGTAGGGGACTAAACAAAAAACCCTTAGACCAGAGACTTAAATTATTTTACAAATATATACATCCAGTATGATTAAAAACGAATACCAAAAACGTAGCGAGGCTTTTTGTTCGGCATCATATTTTTCAAATATACTTCACATTCACTAAATTTTGGACTACCAACCCATGCAATAATGAATTGAAAAATGTGTTTTGTATATTAATATGGGGCTATTTTTTCAAAAGATCTATTTTTAATATTTGTCTTTTAACCATTTGTATGGCACGCGATCAGGTGCACTTTAGCACGGGGCTATCACGTCAGTGATGTATGTGTTCGTTATTGATCTTATTTCAGTGGAATTGCCTTAATGTCTAGTCATAATTTAATAAAAACAATTCCTTGTCAAAATTTGTGTCCAGTACGGAATACTAGAAAGTACTAACTACTTACAGTATCAATATAACTAGCGGCATAACGAAACTGAACGCACAGTACGTCATATATAACAATAATCTTAAAACGTAAAGTGACAACTCGTTTTAGAACTGTAAAAGATACATTTCATCACATGTCAATTCTTTAAAAAGTTTTCAAAAAACACCAACTATTTATGGTGAGGCCACGTCAGACACGAAATGTGTTCTCAGTTCACCATGTCAGTATCGTGTGAACGTGTCACACCGCTAACAGTGATACACGCACTGTACCGATAACACGTGGATCAGTTTATTGCTATACATTATAACTACTATGACTTGAACTTGATTCTTGATGATAGGTACAATGCATGAGTTACAACATTTTCATGGATCAGTTACCACCTACTCTTCTCACAACTCCTCACGCATGCTTTATTGAATTATTCAGAACACGTCTCATCGCGAATACAAATAAAAGACTGTTTGTTAGCATACAGAACAACAAAGGAGGATATTTAACACCGAGGCCTAGGAAGCTTGCATACCTCGTCACACTTGGGTTGGAGCTTGTCGAGGCCGCGGAGGACACTGTCAGCAGAAATGGTCGGCATCATGAAATCTCAATTGTGCACCTGGTCAAGGATCTTCCTAGTGCTGTATATCCTATCAATGCTGTCCCCATCAACAGGTATGCTATTGTGTATCACATATATAAATAAATCTGTGGCGATGTGCAGATAGTCGCAGGAAGTGCATGCCAGGTATATTACGCAGGTAGGGCATACATGGCCGACAGAGAGACCTTAAAGCTCATCTCTCGGTTTGTTTAGATCGATGAATATATACTGTACCTGCATGTTGTTAAATAGAAATAATGTAATCAATGTGATGAGCATATCGGGTAATATCTGTTTACGTGCTGTACATAATATAGACTGTTACACTACGTCTGGTGTAGGTGCACAAGTCTAGCCATTCATTGTCGACTGAAAGTCTGGTGGCCGACATTTATATAATTTATCCAGTTGTACTTTTATGATCATAATTCCACATGAAGAGATTAAAAAGATAACGTCTGAAGATAAAACATGGAACAGAATGTAGATTATAAGGAATTTCAATTCTTTATCTATGTTGCAAATAAAAACGAGGTTAAGCCAACAATGCTTTGAAAAGTACGAGTTTAACCGTCGGTATTCTGTTTTTAAAGCTATTTATAGATGAGCTATTATGTGACACTGGGTAGATCCAGGGTATTATTTAGATCGTATCCACTCGGGTATGGAAGCACACGAAAGCTCAGACTAGCGGAGCAGCTAGCATATGAGAGTACACATGCGGACGTTTTATATCTCCTCCACTTCATTTATAGTGTTCATATCTGTAAATTAAAACCGAAATATTACTGATTAACAATTGATTGTTATCTTGACTGTTACTGAACTATCTTGCAAAATATTAATATTTAATCAAATTTGAACAAGTGCCTATAATGCCCTAAAGTTTGAAAAGATGAAATACTGTTTTCAAGTAGGTTGGGATGATATTTATGTCAACCTTAAACTCGTCTTTGAAATTCCAAGGGTCACACTCTCTTACTTCCAGGGGGTCACATTCTCTTACTTCCAGGGTTCACACTCTCTGACTTCTAGGTGTCACACTCACTTACTTCCAGGGGTCACACTCTCTTAGTTCCAGGGATCACACTCTCTCTTTCTGGGGTCACTCTCTGACTTCTAGGGGTCACACTCTCTTACTTCCAGGGGTCACACCATCTTACTTCCGGGGGTCACACTCTTTTACTTCCGGTGGTCACACTCTCTTACTTCCGAGGGTCACACTCTCTTACTTCCGATGGTCACACTCTCTTACATTCTTTGTACGTAGGTGAGCGTAACGTCTGTTATTTCGAGGATTCCCTTAACTAGGACATTGTTGTACAGTATATGTTAGCCTGTGACTGGAGCACGGAGGAATACTGTCTATGTTAACCTATGATTAAGGCTTTTACCAACCCTAAACAGGGTCAGGGTGGAATCTCGGTCAAACAATTACTAAGGCAGGATGACATTATACATGTGTCAAGCAAAGAATAACATACATATATAAACTTTATATATTTAACAACAACAATTAAAAAGCTTATTACAACTTATATTAATCACTCATACTCACCCAAATATTAGCGTGCGGGGGTCTTTTACCAACCCTAAACAGGGTCAGGGTGGAATCTCGGTCAAACAATTACTAAGGCAGGATGACATTATACATGTGTCAAGCAAAGAATAACATATATATATAAACTTTATATTTTTAACAACAACAATTAAAAAGCTTATTACAACTTATATTAATCACTCATACTCACCCAAATATTAGCGTGCGGGGGTCTTAATGTGGGAGGCAACCGGAATACCTGGAGAAACCCAACAAAGTCTGGCAGATGAGCCCATACCTTTTCGCATCCGATCGGGGAATCGAACTCCGGCCTCCTTGGTGAAAGGCGAGTGCGTTATCCACTAAGCCAACCGACTACCCCAATTAGTATGGCAAGGTGAAATAATATCAATGCCAGCCCGTCTTTGGGAAATGGTGAATTTACAAGTTGATAGTTAATGACTTGATCAGGGAAATGTAATATCTATGTCCACACTAAGGCCGGACGAGGGGTGTTATACCTGTGTTTAAATGTATGTCCACCCTAAGGCGGGGCGAGTGAATGTTATACCTGTGTTAATTCAGGACTGAAGCAGGGAGATGTACATGTCTGTCCACCCTAAGTCGGGGCTAAGGGGTGTTATATCTTTGCTTATTCATGAGTGGAGCAGGGAGATGTATGTCCACCCTAAGGCTCGGCGAGTTGGGTGTTATAACTGTGTTAATTTAGGACTTGAACAGGGAGATGTACTATTTTAAAGTTTAAAATATATTACGATTCCAAACAAATCTTATTCGTGTTCAAACGAAAAGAAACCGTTTAAAACTATATATGATACTATATATCCATTATTCAAAGGTGAATACACTTACCAGGAAAACGATGAAGACCGTTTGTACAAGGCTTTGATGAAATATTATGTGAAGTCATCACGCCCAGTTTTAGTGAGCAATTCGACGGGTTTCAAAGTGGATTTGAGCATCAGCGAACCGAGACTGGAAACTCTGGTAAGTCCAAATGGAATTTCTGGTTTGTTATCCGAGACTGAAATCTCTGAGATGTTAGTCCTAAAGTTGAATCTCTTGTAAGTATCTCTGATAAGTCTATACCTAATTACCATAGTATTTCATTGGAAGTCCAGCTTTTATAATTATGTAAAAGAACTTAGACTGAAGGGACCAAGTGAGCTTATGGCATGGCGCAGCGTCCTTCCTTTACTAGTGTTGATGTCTTTCTGTGAAGGAATACTAGTCTAGGACGGATGAAGGGATTTTGACGTTTTGGTATTGATAAGCAATGGGCCACAAAAAGGTAACTGCCGTTTTAATAGCAAGTTCTTGCGCCCCTGTGGTTATCTGTTAAGACATATCTTTGAGTAGAGCTGAAGGGATTTTGATATTATTTGGCATGAAGCATCCCTTTGTTATGGGAAATCTTCACTTGTAAAGAAATTGCGTTGTCCTTCGAGGAGAAGGGGCGCGACCAAAGAAAAGAGGTAATGCGTCTTTCAAAGGGTGGTCCTAAGGGATGGATCTAACGCAGTGTGGCATGGAATATCCTTAGTCTAGGGGAATATTGAAGGCTTCGGGTTTTGCTTCTGTGGACGGCAGGTCAGAAAACGGGAACTGGGTGTCCAACTTTTAATATTTATCACTGTTTGTAATTGTAAAAATATAACTTTACCACTTTCAAATGGCACTTTTATCAGCTTTGAATGTCATTAAATGGCTTGAATATAGACGTACCCTTATATTCTGAACATAATAATAATATATAAATATGACATTCATTAGCAGGTGACAGTGAATATTGTCAACCCGAGAAAACCATTGTCACCCTCGGCTTCGCCTCGGGTGACAATGGGTTTTTGAGGGTTGACAATATTCACTGTCACCTGCTAATGAATGTCATATCTATTTTGTTACACCAAAGGCTTTGTAGCTCAGAAACGGCAGCAAACCTCGATAATGAAATCGTGTTTGTTGATAGTCTGCTGTTTACAATCGCTATCGCACCGGCGCTTGATAAAATTGGCTGTTGCCGTGAAACGTTCTTGTGACCATCACGGTGGGGAAACGAAGCGGTGAACGCTCATTTTTCGCGCATGTGATATTTTTCACTGTCTCATGGCAATATCACCCGCGCCCCTTAAAACCAATGTATTTTCGGGGGGTGACAGAGATTTTTGTTTAATTTTCTCCCAACCAATCAAATAGCTAGAAATTCACTTGAGGTGTAACAACGACACTGACCGACACATGTAGATAGATGTTCTATTCGTTCTATTCATTAAACCAGTATTCAGAATACATGCCTTATTTGATATTAACAATGAATTTTGACAAATCAATTAAATACTTCGCTTAAAATTATATGTTTAATATTTGATTTAATTATTGACTGCATTCAGTTGACATTTATTTTCCATATGAAATGCACCTGAATATGACAAATTTAACATTTGCTACTTTAGATAAATAAGAAACAGGTGAGAGGTACACGTTCTCTGAGCATCTCGTAAGCAATTTCTGTTACTTAAATAAATAGTGGATATTTATTCGCTGGTGTCGTACTCAGCAACAGGTAATATAAATTAAAACTAAGAGCAAATAACAATCAGTTTCATGTGTATACGCAGATATTTACTGTCTTCTAATGGTAAACATGTCGACATTTTATGATTTAAGAACATTTATATTCATATTATACTATATTAAGTTTCAATAAGAGCGGTTCAGTAATATAAATTCTAGTTCGAGATCATTAGATTAGATTATTCTGTTTGCTGATAATGCATGTTCAAATGTGCACGGGTCTGGTTATGCTGTCTTTTAAATGAAAGATTTAAATGCATATTTTAATATTCATGATTGTATGCAACGCATATTCGTGGATGCGCGGCACAGTTGTTATTAGACTTTGCCACGCATCCACGAATATGCGTTGCATACAATCATGAATATTAGAATATGCATTTAAATCTTTAGAGAATATATCTGAACGGAACTGTGTGGCATACAATCAAAAATGTTGGTATACGCATGTGAATATTTATTTTAAGGCCGCCACGGAAGTTGTACTTCAACCATTTTCTATGATTTCTTTCGGTTAATGGTACATTTTTCAACAGAACTATTAAAGGTACGATGTTTTAACTAATTGTACGTCAGTTACCACTTGCATCTGTCAATATATATATATATATATATATACATTTTTTTAGTGGTTAAACTTTTCCCAACTGCTAGGGTCATATGAAGACGGGTCAGTCGATTAGCATCGATTAGCATTTCTGTCATAATGGTTAAGACGCGAACAGTTTCTGATGTGGAAATCATTCACGTAGATTACAGCATTTTGATCGGTAGGGTAACCTAGGGGTTGTACAACGGAAATAAATATATGAATATATATCAAAAGGTAACACTCTTCGGAGGTTGCTTAGAAACAGCCATGCTATTTTATGATCGACGAGGTGGATATGGAAACTCAAGTATCCCGTTAACTATGTTCAACGTTTACATCTTGGATGTTATATGATGCTTGCTCTAATGTTTTATTTTACCACCTACAACTTCTGTCTTTGATTACAGGAGACGGCTACAGATACCATGACATTTTCCTATTGGCTTACACTGGTAAGTGTGCGATCTAGTTCAAAAACATCGCATGGTTTATTGATTGTAAAAAAAAATGTTGAATCGCTTGGTTGATGTTTAGAGTTTTGCTATTTCAACTAATTCGTATTGATTCATGTATGAATAAATCAATAATACATTACAGTACATGCTCTTTCTGGTATTTATGATATAATTGTTTACTTTGTCAACTAGAATACAAATTAATTTCAGACTTGGCAAGATGAACGGTTGCAGTGGAACTCGTCAGATTTCGGAGGCCTAACAACTATAAGATTTTCTCCTGATTCAATATGGCTACCTGAACTGGAGGTCTACAATGTGTAATGTGTCACCATTTACTATTATGTATATGAAAATGTTAAAAGTATGATTTAATTATATCTAATAATCAGTTAACATTATTATCCCGTCAATTTCAATATATTGATTATACAAGGATTTCAGTGGCATTTCACAATTTAGAGAGTCAAATCACATGTAAAAGAAATTGTCCTTTGAAAATCTACCAGTCAAAGCTGATTTTGATGAGTAGAAACGACACTATCAAGAGTCTGGTCTGAATGTCCTAGTGTACATATTCTGCTGTTCGTTTAATGCTGATTGTATGTTATCTTACAGATAATCATACATGTGATTTCTGTTCGGGTTAAGGTTATAGGCTAATATTGCAAAATTTGTGATTTTTCATAAAAAAATTAACTTTGCATTAGTGTACGAGAATGGAAAAGGGTTATAAATGTATGCATCCCTGTTATCCTGGGAACCGTGGTGTCATATGATAAACAAGGGTCAAATTAACGTGAAATATATTTAAAATGATTTTCTGTATGGAACGGTTTCAATTTGTGGAACTATTGGACTTTGTGGGACTCTTTTGGACATTTGATACTTGTCACGGTGAGATAGCATAATTAGGTATATATTTTGTGGTTTATTATTCTATCAAAGGTTAAAAAGTGTCAATTACAGTAAGTAGCCGAAACAATGGGCAAAATTATACTTCTAAAATACTTATATATTTTAAATAGACACTTATGGTAACATTTGTCTTAATTGGTCATCATTCTCTCTTTAGATTTTTAGCTCACCTGTCGGTCGGTCGTCCGTCCGTCGTCAACTTTTCCATTAATACTACTTCTTCTCAACAACCAAAAGGCCTTGAATGATAATATTTGACCAGTAACATGCGTGGATGACGGGCTACCAAGTTTATTAAAAAAAATGACCTTCACCCATTTTCAAGGTCAAAGGGGTCAAACATACTAAAAATCTTTTAACAACTTCTTCTCAATACCCAAGAGGCATAGGATTATGATAATTTGCCACTAACATGCTGGGTTGAAGGGCTACCATGTTTGTTCAAACAAATGACATTCACTCATTTTCTAGGTCACTGGGGTCAAATATGTTTAAAACATTTAAACAACTTCTTCTGATTTACCAAAAGGCCTAGGGTTATGATATTTTGCCAGTTAGATGCTGGGATGAAGGGCTACCAAATGAATGACCTTCGCTCATATTCCAGGTCACAGGGATCAAATATGTTTAAATGTTTAAATGACTTGTTCTGAATACCCAAATGGTCTGGGGTAATGATATTTAGCCAGATGCATGCTGGGACGGAATGCTGAAAATTCTGTTCAACTTAATGTCCTTGTTCGTCTTTCAAGGTCACAGGCGTCATATGTTTAAATCATTAAAAAGATTCAAATGAATCGAACACAGATATTTTGCCTGTAGCTGTCCACTTTTAAGATTACAAGTGTGAGATTAGTACCAGGTGAGCGATTCAGGCCCATTGGGTCTCTTTTTTTTTTTATTAAACAGCTAAACACTTTAATCTTTTGATAGTTCACCGTTCCATCCAAGTCGAACAAGGGTCGCAAATGCGATAGTCCACTCTTCGGGATCAGTAATGTATATTCCTGCACAAACGATATCGTTTTTCTGTCCTTTGGACTTGGCAAAGTTTCCCTACGACACACAGAAGTGTAAGCTTGTTATGGGGTCCTGGACATTCACTAGCTTGAAGCAGGACCTAACATACGGTGGCAAATACGAGTCACAGGAAATCCCGGTGGCTGGATTTGGCGACACTCTAAAAAGCCATCCTCAATGGACTTTAAACAAAATGACAGCTCAAATAATTCATGCCAAGTACGAGTGTTGTCCGGAAACATACGTCAAACTAGAGATCGATATAACTGTTACACGAATAGCCTCGTACTACAGACTTGCACTTGTGGGACCGTCTGTTTTCCTTGCCATCCTCATCCCTGTGGTGTTTTTGCTTCCACCTGATCAGACATGCAGAACTAACTATGGTTTGTATAGAACGTGATTAAAGCCGTAGATAACATTATTTATCTTTCCAGAAGTCTGTTTTCTTTCTCTTTCATTTGGATTGAAGCATAATGCTGCAATTGCACATAATTATTTCTGATCAAAAGGGAAACTATGCGTAATATTTCAAGACTGTGAAATCCGATAAGAAAGATAAATGGGGGCAAATCTATAAACGATTTTATCTCGGAAAAAATGTAAAGAAATTTTCTGATTTTAAGTTTTTTAAATCCTGTTCTAAGAGGATAGAATGTTGTATCAATGAACGGTGAATATGTTGTCAAGTTGGGATCCGGCAGTACAGGTAAAATATTGGTAAAGATGTCAAAGACTACTATTCAGACATAAGTAAAGTGAGTTTGGGGGAGAATGGTAGAGGCCAACCCGGAAATGACTGCTTATGCTGATCAATCTACCTGATATTTGTAGATTTAACTTAAATTAAAACGAAATATTCCTTGGCAATTGGAAGTTGTAAGAAGACAACTTGAAAGCAGATACTTAGGGCGCAAAAGGGATCGGCAAAAATACTTGCTACTTCCAAGTCGAGTTTAATACCACGTTTCAGGTTCATATAATTACATATTTACCGAACTTAAAGTCCTTAATTGTTATATAAGATGCTAAATAATGTTTTAATCAATTAAAATGATGGCACATATGAACGGTGTACAGAGGAAAGTACTGCATAAGGCAGAGAGCATTGTGATATTACAATTGAATTGACGTCATAGAGTGAATATTAACCTGCTGTTTCTAAAATTAGTATCACCGAGTTAGTATCACCAATGACCGACCTCTACGTGAGTACGATCCACCCAATGAGGGTGTGTGTCATCTAACATTGTATTGCTTTTATGTCAGGTATGATTCTACTAATGACCATGACTGTGTTGATGGTGGTCCTACAGGAGGCGGTACCCTTTGATCATGCTACTGTCCCGGTTCTAGGTACGTATACATATGTATATCATGTCGATGTTACAACTTCCGTTTTCATTGGTCAGTTTCCATTACATAATCGGCTAATAATTACATGATTGAGTGAATAGTTAGACTCTTGTGAAATAACTCTATGTATCAATATTAACACAACTGTCCTTAACTCATTAACCCCTGAAGTTTCCTAATGAACTATTCCAACCTTTGAATTGGAAGTGTTCAAATGCGTCTTCAGGGGTGAATGAGTTAAGTTTTGAAAGTAGGCAAAACTGATAAACGTTTTACGGCATACGATGATGTTCATATACCGACATGTATCATTTCCTTTTATGTCGCAATGTAAAATGATTGCCAATAGGTAAATAATATGCAAAATATAACTCGTCATGTCAAAATGGAACATCATGTATTCGAAATGATTGATGTTAATCTGTAAAAAGATACGATGCCTCCATTGCAATACTTAAGGATTCGCGAACCACTTACACAAACTGTAACTAAGTATTGGAGACTGTAACTAAGTATTGGAGACTGAAACTAAGTATTGGAAACTGTAACTAAGTATTGGAGACTGTAACTAAGTATTGGAAACTGTAACTAAGTATTGGAAACTGTTTAAGGATCCCCGTACCACTAACACAAACTGTAACTAAGTATTGGAAACTGTTTAAGGATCCCCGTACCATTAACACAAACTATAACTAAGTATTGGAGACTGTAACTAAGTATTGGAAACTGTAACTAAGTATTGGAAACTGTTTGAGGATCCCCGTACCACTAACACAAACTGTAACTAAGTATTGGAAACTGTTTCCGGCATTAATATGGCATTGATAAATAATTTCTGAAAAGAAAACCGTACGTTCCGGGACTTTTATGAGAAAGAGTAAATACGAAATAAACAGAATATAATCAACAACAGTGTTCTCAGTCAGCGGGGCTAGACCGGTACCGATCCCTAGACTTCAGATTGTTACATTATATGTCTAACCGATGGAGCTACCTGGTCAACGGGAGTGTTCTAGCCCAACTGTGCTACAGTTATATCCAATCTGATGTTAAGGGAACGTTACTGTATATAGGAAAAACCAGTGCAGTGGGAAAGGGATCCTTACGACCTCATCCATTTCTTTTCCTTCTTTTTGCCCTTTCTTTTCGTGTGGAATGTCTTGCCTTGGGTATCCGTTTACATATGACCATAAATGATGTGAGAACTTAAATGCTCAAACAAATGAACAAATAAAAGAATTTTTACAGAGACTATTTTATTTATCAATGGAATACGCCATCGTTTGTGGCTGAGAAAAATAAATGTTTACGATGTTTCGTATCATCACATTTATCAGAAATATACTAGTGTGTAGGAAGTAAAAACGAACTCAAACCGATCTTTTTCATATTAACATGTGTGTACTTTTAACAATTTAACTGCTGACAAAACGGTAAACACAATAATAGGATTATTTAATAGTATTTTGTGCAATCGTTTCTGTTTCAGCCGTGTTCTACTTTGGCATATTTGTGCTGCAGTTCTTCAGTATTCTGTGCTGTGTGTTAACTGGATGTCTGCGCAATAGGGGAGCAAGACGGAAGGCGTTACCAGCATGGCTTGGTTCTGTATGTGACTATTTGAACTTACCGATAAATGTTTCGTCTTTAATATCAGGGGAAGACAAGACAAACTTTAACCAAATAGTTCCAATTCGATTGCAAAGTAAATTCTGAAACCGTCCCTACAAGACACATTAAGGAGTAGGGTCTTACAACACTTCACGAGGGGTCAAGTCCATTACACCTTTCATTTAATATCTAGATGCATATATATTTTAATGTCTATGCAGATTTGCATTCATACCAGCATGAACATTGAACAAAATCGTATGTTTACAATTCGAATTGAAACCATGAACGATTAACATACACTTACTTCCTAATATTTGCTGGATTAAAGTGTCTAGAAATGTTTTGTTCTGGAATCAGCTTGCGTCACCTAAATGTTTGGTTCCTACGATGGGCTCACATTAAGAGAGGCCGGGGAAGGACGTTAATATGACAATAATTTATTGCATTCATAGTCTAAAGAAATGTATTTCTTTCTGTAAAGTATACACATAATAGATATGGCAGAGCAAATGGAAATATATATAAAAAGTGTTATCCAATACCGTAGATTTGAAAGCGTAGCACTGATCAATTTTGAGTAAAAAAGTCATCAGAACTTTATCGATGTGGTATTGTCATAACCTTTATAGTAGTAGTACTAAAAGGAACTGAATGAATTATTTCATTCGAATCACATTGGGATTTAAATCTAAAGAATATTTCATATTACAAGCACTAAGCTTTATTCTCATAGCTAGATTCAACAATCTTTTAGCAATTCAATTTTAAGGGAAAACGAATAAAATGCCCAATGGTAACTATTCAACCAGTATACGTTTTAAGACATTATCTTTATTATCAAAGTAAAAGTTTTTCATTTTATATCCATACATGTATAAATCATTATGGTAAATCAAAAACGTTATCTTCTTGTATGCATGGAATATGATACTTACCGTGAGTGTATCATATCAGGAGATTGTATTGTCCTTTCCTCTTTTCTGATAGCTGTGTATACATAGTCGAGGCGTGCGAAGATGTCTTTGTCTGGACACCGACTGCCCTGTATACCACGACCCTGATACGCCAATGAACATGCGCTTGATAGAGGAGCAACAGGACACTGCACACGACAGTGGACTGGATAATGTCAACATCACTGTGCCCGACGACCACTTCCGAGAAGTTGCGAACAACACAAAGATTATGGCAGGAAAAATCATGCGGGAGAGCACTTATGACAAGCTCCAGCGTGATTGGCAGGAAGTTGGCCGGTGCCTCGACCGAATATTCTTCGTGATATTCGTAGTGGTGATTGCCATCGTGGCCTTGAGCACCGTGCTGTAATGGGTCAAGGTGTTTTACTTACTTGTTACTTTAAGCGGTCACTAACACATTGTCTTTAAATGTAATATATTTCTCAATGTTTTGAATGCTCACCAAAATAATGTTCAATTTATACGAAATCTGTTTTCAATACTGAGCTCTATGGTTATGCAATTTCCGGGTACTAAATAACCGTGATGCTTGTTGTTATTTATATGAAAGCATAGTAGATGTTTATTACAACATGAGCAAATGGTCCACCTATATGTTTGTTAAAAAATAGTGTTTTTGTGGGACGACTCAAGATAGTGATTTGTATATTAAAAAAAAAAGATTATTTTCCATTACAATCTTCGAATAATATCACTCATAAGTATATCAACATGTTCACTGAGAGTCTTATACACGATTTTGTAGCCTTGCTGCCGACTATGAAGAAGATGAATGATATTTTCATAGATATATGTATGTTTTGTCATCATTTTACATATGTGTTTGCAAGTGTTAATATGGAACTATATGACGGCAGCACTGGTTTTGCTTATGATTGCTGTTACGTGAATTATTCATTGGGAGCATTATTACAATACTAACACTCAAGTAAGCCTCATTATCAGCGTATTATGTTATGGTGTATTTTTGTACAATGATAATTGTTACTTCTACGCATTTATACCTTTATAAATAAGTTTCAAATAAGACGTTTTACAACTTCTCCAGTAAAATATTTATAGTAATGAATTACCTTATTGAGACTCAGGAAATTGTGCTGTAATGGGTCAAGGTGTTTTTCTTACTTGTTACTTTAAGCGGTCACTAACACATTGTCTTTAAATGTAATATGTTTCTCAATGTTTTGAATGCTCACCAAAATAATGTTCAATTTATACGAAATCTGTTTTCAATACTGAGCTCTATGGTTATGCAATTTCAGGGTACTAAATAACCGTGATGCTTGTTGTTATTTATATGAAAGCATAATAGATGTTTATTACTTATTTTCCATTACAATCTTCAAATAATATCACTCATAAGTATATCAACATGTTCACTGAGAGTCTTATACACGATTTAGTAGCCTTGCTGCCGACTATGAAGAAGATGAATGATATTTTCATAGGTATATGTATCTTTTGTCATCATTTTACATATGTGTTTGCAAGTGTTAATATGGAACTATATGACGGCAGCACTGGTTTTGCTTAAGATTGCTGTTACGTGAATCATTCATTGGGAGCATTATTACAATACTAACACTCAAGTAAGACTCATTATCAGCGTATTATGTTATGATGTATTTTTGTACAATGATACTTGTTACTTCTACGCATTTATACCTTTATAAATCAAATTAATTTTATATCCACGCACTTGTATTTTATCGGCCTTTGTAACATATTCTTTTATAATGAAAAAGGTTCCTGAAATGTGTCCTGTCACTTTGACCTCACTGAAGGAATTGATAAACTGAACCACTTAGTAGGAAATATATTTTTATACATGAATTTGAATATAACGATAAAGAAAATAAAAGAAATAATGGAATGCTCCTAATGATCGGAGCATCTGTCTTATGAGGGAACTGATTCGGTCTGAACCATCATACTAAAATGATTCTGTGATTCAAAGAATATATACAGGCAAAAACAAAAGAAGCCCCGATTGACCGTGTACTGTAATCAATGATTGTAAGCGTGACTGTCAGGCTCACCATCCTACCAAGGGAGTCCATGGCATTGAAACTGACAAAAATGGGGTCCTAAATAATTTTGATTATTAGTGAAAAGATCGTCGTCTAACGGAGCGGTAAATGTACGTATGCGATGAAAAAACAAGTAAATAAATAAGCTGATTAGATATAATATGCTACTGTGCATCTATGTCTAAATAATAATAAAAAATGTGTGTATTGTTTCGTATGTTTAGCTTTACTTTTAAATGTGGATGATTCTTTGTTTTTACATCTACGTCAATATGGTAGCAGTTATCTCTTATCTTATACTGGCATTATACTTAGATTTAGATTTAGAGTTTGTTAGTTTCTATCAATGCTTTACATAACCATAGGGCTATGGTGTTATAATGTGAGGTAATAAAGTGGGCCTGTTCACTGAAAGGCCCTTTATTTAACATTTGTAATGAATCATTTTGAATATCAACATTATTGCAGCCACGCTGGCGTTTAAAAAGGTTTAATATCCTTTCTCATAGATATATATTTTTGGTATATATATACTTATTGTATCACCATATTCTTTTATAAAGCAATATTTTCTTGTATATATATAACTGTTTAACTGCAATATTATTTCTGTTTATAGACATGTTAAGAGGTAAATGTATTGGAGAGTATTATTGCAATAATAAGACCCAAATGAGTCGTTACTTTCTACGCAATTGATGTTAATGATATGCCCCCATTCCAATTAAAACAAACTGATATTTTATAATACCATGTATGATATATCTGCTTTAAAAGAAAATAAAGTGTTTTCTTACTAAACCAATATTCTTTTATCGCTCTTCTGCAAACGTCTTCAATGCCAAAGGTTTGTTTTGGTTTGTTTGTGTTTTACGTCCTATCAACAGCTTTGGTTATTTAAGGACGTGCCAGGTTTTGGTGGTGGAGGGAAGCCGGAGTTCCCGGAGATAAACCACCGACCTACGGCCAGTACCTGGCGACTGCCCTACGTAGGTCTCGAACCCACGACCCAGTGGTGGAGGGCTCGTGGTAGCAGAATGTCAGACGCCTTTAACACTTAGCCATCGCAGCCTCTCAATGACAAAGGATGTTAGACGAATTTCAATTACAAATTATGTGAAAATATTCTGGACCAATAAAATTAATTTGCGATGACAATGTCCTGAATCAGGAATAGAAATACAAACGGCAATGATAATGCCTAGATTAGTGTATGTATTTGCAATAAGGCTTTGGTTCAGAAGCAGAGAATGCAATTTTTCTCATAACAACTATATTTACCTCCCTCCCGACTCGTTAGGTAAACCTTCTAGGAGTTTGTAAACATTTTAGTTACCTACTCGTGGGACGCACTACCTACGCTATTTTATTGGTTAATCTTTGGGTTATGACGTCACAAAACAATACTTTGCGCCGTCACCTTCAAATGTGACGTCTTGATTCATGGCATTAGGAATAATGCATTTTCAAGAGAGGCATGTTTTTTGATAAACAATATGAAAACTGTGGCAGAAAAAACGTCCTCAAACCAGTGATGGTTAGTTATTATAGATATATAGGAGATTACACGAGTTTCCATTTCATATGAGATTTATGAACGAATCTAAGAATTTTTCAATTTAGCGAGCCTCTGGGGAGCTAAAATGAAAGTTTCGTGACAAGTTTCATAAATTTCATATGATATGAAAACGAGTGTAAGATCCTTTTTATCACATAATCAAGATTTGTGGCATTTATTCGTATAAAACGACAATTTTCATGCAACATTGAAATGTAAAAAGCCGCCATTTTGACTCCAATGCGTAGGTCTGTGACGTCATGTACTTGTGACGTCTCAATTAAATCAATTGAAACTTACAACCAATCACAGGGCTGATAAGTCATTTACATGGGTTGATACGCAAAAAATATGACATGGGTATATTTACTGGATAACACAATACATTATGTGATAAATCTAACTGTTATCTTCACACAATTTGAAAAAATAGTTAACTTGAGTTTGAAAAACAGGTTAACCTAACATTACTCGTTGGGAAAATCTGTGTTTGGGTAAGGAATGTATTAGAAATGACAATGCCCCGAGTAGAAAATGCACTTTCAATTATTATTCCCCGAATCAGAGTAGAAAATGTTACTGTTAGACACCAGGCTGTGGTTATAATAGTTCAATTGTTATAAATTATTTTATTGTTCAAATATTATTTTCAGATTAAATTTTGAGCTTAAGAAGACATGCTTCTTAATGGTTGTAAGGTAAATATAAAACTCATAATTTACATAATAGAAAAGTTATCTAAATAATAATGATAATAATTCTAATAATTGAAAATTTAACTTTAAATGTCATTACTGAGTATGAGATTGATTTCACAGTCCTAGAGATAATACTATTTCATCAAACACACTCAAATTCATTGCAATATCAAGCTAACTTTTTTTAGTTTAAACATATTTTATTGCAATATAATTACAAAAGGATTGGACACAAGTTATTGCAACTTATAAACGCCCTTTCCATAATGGTTTACAACATATAAATATAATGCAATTTCTAATAATACATAAATTAATTTACAACAAACACATACTTGAGAGAGAGAGAGGGAGAGAGAGAGAGAGAGAGAGAGAGATTTTAGTCTGACTCATTTCATGATTAAAACTATAGATTAAGATAACAAAACTATAACAATGTTATATAACAAACTTATCAAGCGTATAACAATGTTGACCCAGTTGGACTATAAACACATTCATTACGCACTACAAATTGTTCATCTCAGCCCTGAAAAACTTTCCTCTTCCGTAACCACGCAGATACATCTTCTTTTCCGTAGTCTTTCATCTTAATAATACCAGCTGGGCCAACAATGTTACCTTAGCAGTTGAATAAGTGATAGCACAATACTACAGTAACATCGGATAATGAAATTAAAACAATTAAATATATAGCGTTGTGCACTTTTCTTTTAAACCTTTTGCTAGATTTAATGAAATTATGAACGCATAAAAAGACTTCCGAATTTGTGTCAAACGGCAAATCTTCATATCTAAATAAAAGCAAATCTAAATCACATGGTACCTCTAAACTCAAATCATTTACTCGCTGAAAAAGGATGTTTCTTTCAATACTATAACTGCGACATTAAAAGAAAAAGGGATAAACATTTTCACAAATATGTCCACAAATACAGCTAGGGGTTTCCACAAGGTTCACACGGAATAAGTCCTAATTTAGAGAACTGCAACGGTGTCTAAGCTTCGTGTGAATAACATTTAACCTACGGTCGCCATTACAAAAGTACGAAGGAGGAATAAATTGATCGTTGGGTTTCAGGGAATTTTTAAAGGTATTCAATGATGACCTTATAGAGTTATCAAGGGTATTCCAACAGCGAACAGTTGACGGTAAAAAAGAAGAGTTTGTTGTTGATGATCTGAAATACGGGATTCTATAATCATTTCTGTTTCGCAAAGGATAGCGAACTAGATCTTGTACAGTGGAGAAAAGCAGGGAAGAAAAATAGTCTGGTGTTTGATTAACATGCATTTTAAACAAGAGTTGAAGCTTTCTTCTTTTTCTTCTAGCAGACAATGTTTCTAAACCTGTTTCAAAAACTAACTTTTCCCGTCCATTGTATAGAATATCAAATATATAGACAAAGAATGATGTTAAATATACATGTTTTATGTTACAATTACATTCTATTGACAAATAAAAACAAGAAACAACTTATATGTATTAATTACAGACAATATGATTCATAAAAAAAATCTGCAAAGTTTCAAATAAGACGTTTTACAACTTCTCCAGTAAAATATTTATAGTAATGAATTACCTTATTGAGACTCAGGGAATTATTATAAATCGGAACATTTATTGTGAAAGAAATGTTTCGAAAGAACGGGATAGCTGTTATTTCGTCTGAATCCAACATATGCAAATAATCAATTTAGTCAACTAAATATTTTACAACTCGGTTACAATATTAAAAAAAAATCAAAAACATCAGTAGCAGAACATTTCGATCGTGCATGTCCGACTTGGAAGTAAGATCCGACTAAAGGAGTCGTCTGCAAAATGTCTGACATTAACAGCGATTCCAAATAATTCTGGAAACATCATTTATATATAGCTGTCTTTTGGTAAATACAAATGATAAAAGACACTCGGCAACCTTCGTGACTTTACACGTAGGTGTATGCATTTGATAAAAAAATATTTATATAAATCGATCATTCATTTTGCTTTTGGTATAAATACAAATGATAAAAGACACTCGGCAACCTTCGTGACTTTACACGTAGGTGTATGCATTTGATAAAAAAATATTTATATAAATCGATCATTTTGCTTTTGGTATCAGTCCACCTTGATAAAAGGTATTCATTAAGACGCACATCGTTGGTAATATATACCTTGTGATATGCGCCAGACGTTCTTGTCAATAGGGGTATTGTTATCTGTCCTGATGTTTGGCTTTGTGTGCTGTTATCACTTCAAGTGAACATCGATTTTTGATTTCTTCTTTGTAGAATGATGCAGTGGTATGTATCATTCCTAAATAGAAAATCTATTTTTAATGAGCTATAGACAAAGTTGATTGCATGTATTTCTGTCAATAGTTTCATTTACGCTGGTTTGTGCGAGCATTCAAAATGCGTCTTTCAGAGCGCTTCACAGACTTGCAAACCGTGTCGATAACTACATTCTTCCCTTTAATGACAGAGGTTTCTGATGCTAGTTCTTCCATATTTTCATCCATGTGACCAATTTTCTGCTCTAGCTCACGGAGGTGCCAATTTATTTCATTAGTCGCTTTTTCGTGATTTTTGTTTGAGTTTTGAATGCTTGTCTGCAACTCTGTCATCTGGTTTGTAAGTTTTTGTATTTCTCCTAAAATAAGAGCCTGGTTCTCTCTAAGAGAATCCACAGATCCTTTTAAACAACCAATAGCCTCAGTGGTGTCCTCTTCTGCAGTGTGTATGCGTTCTGTAAGGAGGCGAAAGTCATCTCCGTTTTGCTTCATATCAGTTGTCAACTTTTGCGTCATAGTTACAATTTTGTTTTGCAGAAAAGTTGACTGCTGTTTCACAACTCGACGCATTGTTTGCTCTGTGTCGCTAAAATCGGCTTGTACTTTGGCGATTTCTTTAGAAATATTGACAGTGGTCTTATTGACAGATTGTTCTATAGCTTCCTTCTGTGCTTCGGTGGATTTGTTTGCATTATATGACGCACTTTCTTCTGTGTCCCGGTGCAAGTCTGCAGTTTGCTGCTTCATTTTCGCAATATTAAATTCCAGATCGTCCTGCTTACGTTCCATGGACTCCTGCATATTGTGTACTCGTTCCTTTGTTTCATCGATTCTGCCAGAGACATCATGCCCTGTATTGGTTACAGTGGCTGCTATGTGCGATCCTTCATCTGCGATAACCCTGGTCAGTCTCCTCTCTGATCCATGTATCTCCTGTTTTAAGCTAGTTGTCTGCTCTTCTCGTTCATCAGTCATCTGACTAGCTGATGCTGAGATAGCATGCAATGTCTCAGAATGTTCTTCAGCTAAACACATAAACATAACAAACATTTCTTTTGGATGATGATCATTTATATCTTTGCATTAGTTTTATCATGTGTATTTATTAACGTGGTTGTATCATTCTTATTGAATTGATTTGACGTCATAAACGGCATACCAATCTGCTTGGTTTTTAAAACAGTATTACAAATCAAAGACCTCCACATGATTAGGATCCAACCGATGAGGATATATAAAAAAATGGGTCATATTTGATATAATGATTTATTGTGATGGAGTAACTTTCTCACAAAGCTATGTTGAGATCACTTACTACATATTTATTGTTGACGTGAATTGATATTGTTTTGTGATTTAGTTTTTGAAAGACAATCGAACAGCTGTGTTTGTAGGATTGAGAAAGCAAACACATGATGTGAGGGTGTCTCAATGATATTTCTCATAACAGTAATATTGAAGTCATGTTACATTTATCACATTATAGTCATTTTAATTAAAAATTACGTTGAGAAAATAATTATGAACTGCTAAAGAGTGATACATCAAGTTATTAAAATATAAGACCGATCGATTAGCTTTTCGCTCAGAATAGCGCGCCACGTTTTATAGGCTTTGTGAAAAATAGTTGATCCAATTTCAAACTAAAACATCATATATCATCTATTGAAAAATGTTAACTTTATTACAGTTTCTGTTTCCATTACTAAATGTTGTTAATCTACAACCAGTTTTTGGGATAAAGTTATTGCTAGTCTGCGTCTTTGTGTTAAATGTTTTTGTGAGAAACAAATTATAAATGAAAGAGTAAAAGGACAGACACTTTCGGGAAATTGCTAATATTTTAAAAGAGTTACTCGAAGCACGGTACTGTAATATAATTTTACAAGAATAATTAGAGCAGAGGAAAAAGCCGAAAACAGCCTTATTGGGGCAATTCCCTTGAATGCATGCATTTATAAGGGATGCATTAAATCACAATGCAACTCACGGTTTCCGTGGACGATCTTGTTTTTGTTTCCGATCACTGTGGTCTCATTAAAAGTGACATCCACTTCCCCAGGTCGCTTTTGCAGCATAAAATGCAGCATGTTCATCGCAACTGCCATGTTTACTACAATACATTAACATTTACACATTAATATGATGTAATACCATGTGTAGAAATTAATCGAAACATAAACCTATATATTGTAGAATTATACAAAAAAATAATTAAGGATTATGATAACTATAAACAAAGGAGATTTGCAAGACTAGTTTGTCTCGTGATTCCTATATACAGGAGAAATGTAAATCCGCCGGCCTGTGAAATGCACATGTTAATACATTACTGTGCTCAATCTACAATAATTCTACGTTATAATAAACTTAATGGGCATTTCACAAATAAGAACTACTAAAATACTGGCAGTTTTACAGAATTACTGCATTATTATTACTTGTGGACAACTGAGGAGGGCGAGACCTCTGCCCTAAATGACCATGCCCCAATAATAAAGCAGCGGTACCCACAAACATTCATGTCTGTACGTTTAAAATATAGCACTTACATGGTCTTTCACTTTCTCCTGGTTGATGTATTGCAGTCTCTTGATTAACAATATGGGGGTCCTGGGCGTAAGCAGTGCACAGTTGCTTGTTGGCTAAAAGATCAGATTTGTCATTCTCTTCCTCCGAGCCAGCACCATTGAGCAGCTTACTGTTAGTTATGCTACTTCTGTCATTCTCCTCCTGGCCGTTGTTAGTTGCACAGGATTGGTTATTATCAAAAACATCTGATTGGTCGTTCTCGTCTTGTGAGCCAGCTACATAAAGCAGCGTACTGTTAGTTATGTTACTTTCGTCATTTTCCTCTAGTGAGTTAGCTGTACAGGATTGGTTGTTATCCAAAAGATCGGATTGGTCATTCTCTTTTTGTGTGCTTACTGCTGTATGAGCCGAGTCGCACTGGTTAGCGACACTGGGACTGTATTTTCTCTCTTGTTTATCAGCTGCGTCTGACAGATCACTGCCCATAGAAAATCTTCGGCTGACTTCTTGAGCATCGGATGGCTTCGAATGCTTGTTGTCTAAAATTTCCAGTTTGTTATTTACTTGTGAACCGACTGCGTTGGACGTTTTGTTGTTCGTGCATTCAGCATAGCTGTTTTGGTCCTGTAAATTATCTGTGTTCGCCTGCTTTCTATCTGTGATATCAGATTGGCCATTCTGCTCTTTTTCGTCATGTGAGCTAGCTAAATCATGCTGCTTGCTGTTGGTGATATCAGAATCGTCACCCTCTCCTTGTGCATCAGTTGAGCCGAAGGGACTGCGTTGTCCTCGTCCTTTATCGGTTCTGCCTGAATTAGTATTGTCAAAAACATCCGATTGACTATTCATTCGCTGTTGACCAACTGTGGAGAACAACTTATTGTCGGTTGGATTGGTGTTGCCATTCTCGTGCGAACAAGCTGAGTGAGACGGCTTACTGTCAATCGTACCGCATTGATCGCCCTTTTCGTTTGTATCAGCTGATTCGGAACACGTTTGGTTAATGGGGTCGTATTGAACATTTCCCTCCTGTGAGCCCACAGTGTTAGGATGTCTACTGTTCATGATATCATACTGACTGTTTTCTCTTCGCAAACCATTTGTGTAAGATTGTGTCATGTCCACGGCATTGGCTTCACCATTCTCGTCTGACAGATCACTACCCATAGACAATCTTCGGCTGACTTCTTGAGCATCGGATGGCTTCGAATGCTTGTTGTCTAAAATATCCAGTTTGTTATTTACTTGTGAACCGACTGCGTTGGACGTTTTATTGTTCATGATATCAGAATAGCTGTTCTGGTCCTGTGAATTATCTGTGTTCGCCTGCTTTCTATTCGAGATATCAGATTCGCCATTCTGCTCTTGCATGTTAGGTTTGCGGGATTGCTTGTAATCCAATAGATCGGTTTGGCCATTTTCGTCCTGTGAGCTAGCTAAATCATGCTGCTTGCTGTTGGTGATATCAGAATCGTCACCCTCTCCTTGTGCATCAGCTGAGCCGAAGGGACTGCGTTGTCCTTGTCCTTTATCGATTCTGCCTGAATTAGTATTGTAAAAAACATCCGATTGACTATTCATTTGCTGTGGACCAACTGTGGAGAACAACTTATTGTCGGTTGGATTGGTGTTGCCATTCTCGTGCGAACAAGCTGAGTGAGACGGCTTACTGTCAACCGTACCGCATTGATCGCCCTTTTCGTTTGTATCAGCTGATTCGGAACACGTTTGGTTAATGGGGTCGTATTGAACATTTTCCTCCTGTGAGCCCACAGTGTTAGGATGTATACTGTTCATGATATCATACTGACTGTTTTCTCTTTGCAAACCATTTGTGTAAGATTGTGTCATGTCCATGGCATTGGCTTGAACATTCTCGTCTTGTGTAGCAGATGAGTTGTTCTGTACACTGCCCACGAAATCAGACTGGTGATTCATTCCCGATGTATTATTTGGTTAAAAAGGTCTTATTGTGAAATCGGGTATTCTTCTCGTAAACCACTGTTTAATTTTCCTGTTTTGTCCTGCGTAATGAAGGCAAAAATAAGTGTTTTTGTCTATTGCATTTGTTTTTCAGATGTGTAGGTTTGTTTGTGGTCTACCCAACTTTAATCACCTTCCTTCTATGCTGATAAATTGTAGATGACGTCTTTTTCAAATCGGTCAAATAGCCATCATGAGGCTGAAATGAAGCATTTTCTCATTTAGTATCAGGCATGCAAAAGTAAAGCGATGATATTCAAATAAGACTACACTTACCTATATTTATATCCTCTGATAGATCATATGATGTATATTTGAATAGGTTATGTATGATTACAGCTAATGTGCGTTTCAATAATTTTCTTATAACAAAAACCGTTGGCATTGTAATTACATGTATAACCGTACCAATGAACCCTAGCAGACTACGCATCAAACCATTTAAAAATATTCTTTAGAATATCTAAGTGTTTTATTTGGGGTTTGGTTTGGTTCGTGTTTGTGTTTTAGGTCCTAATAACAGCTATATGGTCATTTAGGGACGAGCCATGTTTGGTGGTGAAAGAAAACCGGAGTACCCGGAGAAAAAGCATCGACCTGTGGAAGTAGTTTGCGACAGTCCCGCGTAGGCCTCGAACCCGGTACCCAGTGGTAGAGGGCTAGTGAACATAGATGGTCAGACACCTTAACCACTGGGGTTGACAGACAGTGAATCAACATTAACTAGAATTTTGTTTTTGTGAACAAAAGCAAATGTCTCCCCTTATTAGCCAATAGAAAAAAACTCCGGTATAAAAAAATAACAAAGGGCCATATCGCTTTATATAGTGGGGCACGAGACCCGAATTAAGAATTTGACACTCCTACTTACCCAAGATACATTAAAACTCTAGCAAGTTTGGTCAAACTAGAACACTGACAGGTCAGTAAAGGCCCCGTCTTGTGGCAATATATCCCCCATAATTATCAAGAAGCAATCTGCCCATATAGCTTAACTTGACGTTGGACATTTGGACTTCAAAAAGAATCGCAAGGAAGATAAATATACATTTTACATGTACTATGATGTGAGTCTTGTTTCCTTCCACTTCCATATATACTGGGCACACAAAAATGTAAATACCGGTGCAATACTCATTTGTTAGCTTTGATTTGTTTTATTTCACCTTAAATACCTCCCCCATCAAGAGCCAGGGTCAAAGTAAGAGATCCACATTTGACCCAAATGACCTTGACCTTTAACACAGTGACCCCGATCTTTGGTCAGTTGACTCATTTTTCAATTCCGTCCAACTTTGCTTCATAATAGCATAACAAAATGTTCATCAGTGAAAAATACAAAACTTGATCTTGACCTTAACCTTTGGAACCCGTAACCTTGACCTTTGGTCAGTTGACTCTGTGTTAAGTTCTGAACATCTTTGCTTCAAAGTATCAAAACGAAATGTTCAGCAGTGAAAAGATGCAAAATGTAACCTTCACTTTTAACCCAGTGACCTTGACGTTTGGTCAACTGACTCCTTCTTTAATTGCGAACAACTTTGCTTCAAAGTGTCATAACAAAATGTTCCCCAGTGAAATGATACTGAATTTGACCTTGACCTTTGACCAAGTGACCTTGAACTTTGGTCAAATGACTCCTTGTTTAATTCCGACCAACATTGCTTGAAAGTGTCATAACAAAATATTCATCAGTGAAAAAATACAAAATTTGGACCTTGACCTTTGACCAAGTGACCTTGATCTTTGATCAAATGACTCCTTGTTTAATTCCGACCAACATTGCTTCAAAGTGTCCTAACAAAATGTTTATCAGTCAAAAGATACAAAATTTGACCTTGACCTTTGACCCAGTGACCTTGACCTTTGACCCAGTGACCTTGACCTTTGGTCAGTTGATCCCTTGTTTGATTGTAACGGACGGACTTAAGAATTAGTATAGAAGATGCGGGGCCCTAATAACATGGCAGTTATGCCTTGGACAAACTTCGGTATCAAAATTAAACAAAGGGCCATAACTCTGTTATATAGTGTGGTACGAGACCTAATTTCAGTGCACTGCACACCTCCTGTGGGTGATGCAAGTATACTTCAAGTTTGATTAAGATATCTTTAATGGTTAAGAAGTTATGCCGTGGACAAACTTCGGTATTTAAAATAAACAAAGGGCCATAACTCTGTATATAGTGGGGCATAAAATCTGATTTTAGTGTGAGAAGTTCCGCCTTCCCAAGATACATAAATATGGTAAGTATGGTCAACGTAGGTGAAATAACATAGAACTTATGCTCTTGACAAACGTCGGTATCAAAATCAAACAAAGGGTCATAACTCTGTATATAGTGGGGCACGAGACCTAGTTCCAGTGCACTACACACCTTCTGCGGGTGATGCAGGTACACTTCAAGTTTGATTAAGATATCTGTAACGGTTTGAAATTTACCGACCGGACAAGAATTTATTGAAAATGTGCACTCATTTAACCTTTGACCTTGAGGTGAAGGTCACAGTGACCTAATTCCAGTACACTGCACACCTCCTGTGGTTGATGCATGCATACCTAAAGTTTCATCAAGATTTCTTTAACGGTTGAAAAGTTATGGCCCGGACAAGTCAGATAAGAAGAACCAGAAGAAGGAGAAGAAGAAGAAGAAGAAGAAGAAGAAGAAGAAGAAGAAGAAGAAGAAGAAGAAGAAGAAGAAGAAGAACCAGTACTAATACAATATGTCTTCCTTCATTCGAAGGGGAGACATAATTACATTGTTTCACTTTAGTAGCACGAACGATGGAATGATAAAGTTACTAGCATAACTAAGTGATATACTTTAGAGTGTGTATTATTTACACAAACGGAGTGAAAATGTCAGTTTGTTCTGTGACGAGCGCAGAACAGCACGGATGGAATGCAATCAGAGTTTGGTCTAACTTAGATGATTTCGACATGACCTTCAAATTTAAAAGGAGAATCAAAGCAGTATACGATAAAAGTAAAGACAATATGACATTGCTATTAATTTGGACATGCTAAATCGAAAGTTATAGCCGAAACCGATCACCTATTTCGATTAGTATGACATACCGAAAAGCAAAATTATACAAAAAATCAGTATATAGATCTCCTAAGGTCATAAGTCGATCGATCAATATTGCATACCTTTCATTTGCATCTGTTTCACCAATGCAAAGGTGAACCAAAAGTCATAGGTCAAATTAATAAGGCACACCTTTCATGTAAACATGATATACCGATGTTATATCAAGGTCAACATATATAGGTCACCAAAGTTCATAGGTCAAATTTTGGTATCCACAAAACTAGACTAGTCTAATCGGCTGTCTTGTCCTGTAACTTGTGTTAAATGATAAACAATGCCACAGCGTTAACTCACAAGGACACAATCGGAATTCCGTGTCGATAATAAAAGATGTCAACAGGAAAGGACATCACAAACCACAACAAAAATGTAGGCAGCTGATCCGGAAAGATAAAGGGAACTTTTCAATGTTTAAAGTCTCAATGGATACTACCGTTAACTAAATGGGAAGTAAAATCAATGGTAAAATAGTATCTCTATTGTACTGGTTCAAAAAATAACTTAGTAATGTAGCAAGCAAAGATAACAGGAGAACAACAAAACATTACCCTACTTCCACAACAACTCACCTTCGATGACGCTTTCCGTCCGACTGATGAATGTCTAATTATGACAGTCGACGTGTCGTTACCCGTGTCTATTATTAGAATGAAAATTTTCACTGGATAAATCTGGGTTTTTTGTCGCGTGATGATATGTAATTTCCGTAGGCGACTCCGTGGGTGTTATTCAAACGTTTATATGCAAACACTCAAGGATTCCTGTTTTATGCATTGGTAACACTTAAACATTTCTGAAAAGAACACCATGCCCTATCAATGGGTGGAGTAAACAGATATAATACACATAGTGTTCTGAGTGTAAATATAACGGAGCTTGACTAGACTAGGATTCGAACCCTCGATAACTCTGTTACCTGGGTAATGTCAGTACCCATTTGCCCTACAATTATATCCAATATAAAATTAAGATGAGGTTACTCTATGTACGAAACCCTACAGTGACGTTCTCTAGTCTTTTACCTGCAGTGGGACAGAAATCCCTAATCTTTGGCTGTCCTTATTGGACAGGCAGGCATTAGCGCCAGACAATACCCGACCGGTTAGAGTTATAGTTTGTGTTAACATACTTTGGGTTATGCCATTATCGTATGACATCAAGTTATAGTGACCATAACGAGGTGTGAGGGAGTCATAATTTGTTTGGAAACTTTCTAATAATTTTGAATTTGTTTGTACGACTTATATCAAAGTACTTACTGAAAACATAATATATATTTGATATTTAGGTCAAGGTGACTTTGTTTTATATTTTTTAAGTAAACAGTTTGCTGCGATCTCTGCCTAAATATATATAGGACAATACATTTATCACAGAAGTTAAATCAATATTTTCTCATGTTCTAGCCATTTTGTATTAAACGTGTTGCAAATCAAATGTTGCCCATATGTCCCTGATCAAGTGATAATACATTGGGGATCGATAAAACAATCGAAGATAACCTGTATGGCCTCACGCATTTGCTTAACTGATATCTGTGACTTAAAACATTTATGTGTCTATCATTTAACTTTTGAGATCATATGGAGATTTACGAATGGGACATTTTTGTCTTATCTACGATGGCCGACAGCGGCCGACAAAACACATTTGATATAAACTGTGTTTTGTACCTAAATAATCTATGTAATTGAGTACAAAACACATTTAGTAAGTTCGACTAAACGTGTTTCGTCATGACGGTTGATTGCTTACAGATGATGGTAATTCTGCATCTTGTGACATCCTTGACTTGTAGTCCGACGTCACTGCTATCATTCTAGTCGCGAAGCCTCATTTGACGTCATCAGGTGATGGCCAGCCCTCTTCAGATGTTTCGACCCTTAATCACTACATCCTCCGACTGGTGGGTCAGTAGCGGTGGCCAAACCACTACTCGTCTATGTCGTCTTCCACATCAGCGTTGTTTCCACTATTCCTTGAAACACAAACTTCCTGTCAATGTCAACCTTTATCTCCCATGTTGGCGCCCGTTCCAAGATGGATGAGGTGCTTCGAGGCTTTACTGTGGTTTTCTCCCCTGGTTTCACAAACTTGATACCAACCTGGTTTGTTCTTACACCAGTTCTTTTCTTCCTTCTGTCCACTTCAAGGATATCTGCTAGGACCCGCAAGACGTTGCCATGCCTCCATCAGTATCTACCCTGTCGTAGTGCTTCTTTGCAACCAGACAAGATATGAGCCATTGTTCCTCTTCCTCCGCATAGTTTGCAGCAAGGATCATCCGTCAATTCCCACTGATGCACGTTAACAGGAGATGGTAGCGTGTCATACACGGATCGTAGCAGAAATGTTATCCGGAAGGGCTCCATCCTCCATATTTCAGCCCATGTCATCTTCCTCTCTGGGAGATTCCATCTTGTCCACGCTCCCTGTTTGCTGAGTTCCACATATTTCCCTCTCCTCCTTTCCTTCTCAATCCTTCTGATTTTTTTCTGCACCATTTGCCGTCTTTCTTGGGTATTTGCTTTCTCCCACTGCTGGAAATGAGAGAAGCCAACTCCTTGTCTTCCGACGCAGCTGTTCCCGATGATATCCTTCAACTCAAGCATACTCTCTGCTTCACCAACTGCAGTGCTTGCTGACCACTTTCTCCCTGTTCTTGTCTGTATCACTGCCTCGCTGATTTTCACGTCTTTGGAGTCCCTCAGAGTCATCACCATCCTGCATTAGCCTGCACAAATACTTATGTACAAATAATCATGTACAAAACAAGTTCCCTTCTCATGAATTTGTAATAAAACTCCCCCTTTTTCAAGTGTGTAATTAATCATCATGGTAACGAACTTAAGTGTGTTCGACTTGGGCTATACTAGGGTATTTTCTTTTGTTTTGCCTGCTGTTGAAATCAAAGATATATTTAGTTTAAACATACTGCATTGCTTCAATCATTAAGGACGAGGATTGAGTACAAGTAACAACAGCTTATAAGAGTCATTTCCATAAATTGCAACAACATTGTGAAAGTGACAGTATACATAATTACCATTTGATTAATTGTGCCACCAAATCGTTGTTGATTATATAAATGTATACCAATACATAACTTTTTATCGGGCACAATGGAATACTATTTTATTACCACGAATACAATATATTCGCATGCTTCGATTTAAAAAATAGCAAAGAAAGCCCATCCATCAACGCGAAACTTATTTTCAATATTGAAATTCAATTTCATTTTCAGGACTACCATCAGAATAAGGAATTCAGCCAATGAGGCAATACCTCAATTTTGGCTTTAATGTTAAAAGTTCGCCCATGTGAAAACGGCAATGGGTTCTGTCCCCGGGCTAGGACATGCCAAAGTCCTTAGAAATGGTAGTTGTTATTCTCTGTTTAACGTTCAGCATTTGGGGAAATGGCAAAACCTGGTAACCCTATGTCAGCATAATTACCGGGTGGAATGCTGTGCTGGGTGCCTAGAACTACATGATATTTCAATGTGATAGCACTATAAATTCGGCATCGGGTCTGCGCTATCACAAGGAGCCAAATACACCAAACATACCCTGTCTCCAGAACACATACACACATGCAGGTATACACAATACACATGGAGGCATGCCCTTAGCAATGTATTCCTTTTTTCCAAATATTATCAAATTTTAAAACAATATCTACACATCAGCCTACAGAAATATATCTTGAAGTTGTATTGTGATCCTTAAATGATAGGAGTTTTCAGTGCATGGATTGGTAGAGTCTGTTAAAGTATTTTGATTTATTAATGTATTGTTTCATAATGGCCATCGGTTTCATAATACATTCTTATATAATCATGCATACCAAAAAAAAAAAGGTTTCTTTCTTGAATGTTAATAAGATAAATAATACATCTAAAATCTAAATCCAAAGACCTGAAAAAAATGACTGTTCTTTTTCACACTCCAGTAGCATATATATACTAATGTTTCTATGTCTGTTTTGCAGAAATAGCAGCACACATTTGGAGTTTCGAATAATCCTATTTTAATTTAATGTTTATTTAGGTTTTTAAAATATGACTATTTATCCTGTATCAAACCAGTGTATTTTAGATGTTATTGGTAACTTGAAATATAAATCTCCCTGTTTAATAATCTAGACCATTCCACTTTATTTTACTTGTAGAACTATGATATCGTTTCGCACCTTTATTTATATTAACGAAAATTTCAAGTTTAAGTGGTAAAATAGGACACATTTTAGCTTACAACATGCATCATTACTATTTACTTTAGCCAGAGGTACATTTTTATTGTCTTAGCTATTCCATGAAAGATTTTTTTCTTTAAATTAATTCATAGTAATGAAGAACATGTATTTATTTTTCTTATCTCGGATACTTTTCCAACAGTTATCATAAAACATCTTTCCAAAATTTATTTTTGCATTTTTTTTACAGTCTTACATTCATATATTTTCTATATCAATATTTTCGTCGAGTACACATTGCCATTTATTAGATTTAGAAAAATAATCTTCTGTTCTGGTTCATGCTAGATAAATAGATAATTTGTTACCATATTAATATTCTTTCCGCAACGTAGATTTTTTTTGAGTTCTGAGACTTAGTTGTTTAATTGAAATATTATACAGGATTTTGGGTAGTGGATCTCTACTACAATACTTTAAACTATGTTTCCATTACAAGGATGAAAGTTTAATTTATCATGTTTGCAGTATTAAAGTTATAACAATACCCGTGGTGAGCCTCTCATATTTGGTCGCCCATTTTTCATCGTGGTCATCTATGTGTTTTCTTTTCCTCAATTTCACATAAGCTTCTATGTGACACTGATGTCAAGATTTGGAGGGTGAGTTTGAGTGAAGGTCGGACAGGTAAGGAACAGGTAAGTCATTAATGTAGGTATAAAATCGTGTCCGACACGTTTCCAATTCAAATTAAGACGACCATTGCTTCTCTTTTTTATTTGTATGCAATCTGTTTGAGCTGGCAATAACTGCAAATGTATATTGTAAGCTTATATATCGAAGTTACAGTAAGGCATGCTTCATGATGAACCATAAATCATGCATATATATATATTAAGGTCCACCTCTGGCAGAGTAGAAGGAAATTCAATGGATATTGTTTGTGTAAACCCTAAGGCATGTAAGCGATCTAGAATGAGACCAACAATTTTAGATGATCGATACAGAACTCGGCCGTAGACCAATGGCTTGATTTGGATTAAGCCTACACAATGAAATGAATATAGTAGAAAGGTGCTGATGCCTTAAAGACAGTAAAAGAAGAGCGGGCGTGGACAGTTCCGCTTTGATAGTCACCAATTACTGAACTTGTTAGTATGTCTATATAACTTTGATCAGCTGTGCAAGAGCATATTGGTGTGCAATAGGTTTGTATGTTTGAACCGCGATGTTAAAGAGTATTAAAATTCAAAATTATCCCTGATGGTACCACTATATTTCTACATATATCTGCATTACTTTGGAGGTGGCATGTTTGATCATTCTCAGGCCCCTGTATTTTATCGTGTGCCTGTCTGGGTTGCTCAAATACAACAGGGTGTTTTTGACATTGGAAGGTAATTTCAGATCGGTCACCCTTAAAACCGTCTTCAATCGACGACAACAAGCGTCTTCAAGTGACAACATGAATCCCCAGACAAAATCTTTAAAAATACCAAATAAAGTAAGCGACATCGGAAGATATGTTGTTAATATGAATATAATACACCTCTATACCAAATTTCAATTTGATATTTGAAAAAATGACTGAGTTATGACGAGTTGAATTTTATGATAAAACTGTCTTTTGAAAAAAGGAAAAAATAGGTTTGTTTCCTATTACACATATGAAAAGGTTAAGGTGGGTAGGAAGGCAATGAACTTTATGCTTCATTCTTTGCAAGAAAGAAATCTTGAGTTTAACAGTGCTTCTTTAAAAAAAAATGCCAAAAAAGTTTAGGGTAGGCACAAAAAAATGGGTATCTGGAAACAAGCAACATTTTTTATTCTGACTTAATTTTTCTTTCAACAACACTATGGGCTGTGCTTTAAACATATAGTTGTACCCACGGGTTCGAGACCTACGTGGGGCAGTCGTCTGGTACTGGCCGTTACCAGGTTTTTTTCTCCTGGAACTCTGGCTTTCCTCCACCAACAAAACCTAGCACGTCCTTAAATGACCATAGCTGTTAATAGGACGTAAAACAGAAACAAACCAACTGTCACTGCAACTTTATAGATTAATTAACTTTTCTTGTTTACATTGACATTTATTTGGTAAATTATTCTGCTATAATCTTTTATGAAGTTATATTAGGTACCTGATGTACCAGTGAAACTGTTTGAATTATTGAAACTTTATTTGTCATTGTTTTCATTCTGAGTTTTCAAGAATTTTAAAATATATTAAATTAAAAAACTCCCAAATAGTATGTATATATATACTCACTGTATTATATCAAGCTGTTGTAGGTACATGACTGGTGAAATGCTATCAATTATAGCTGTCAGTAAAAAAGAATGTCTCTATCTCCTGAGGCTATAGTCTGATTCTATAAGGTTTCATTTAACTGATTACCAATAGCTTGTCAAGCATATGATATTTTCACTGACAGATTGATTATGACTGTCACTTGTAATAAATATGTGTATATGAGCTTGTGAGGTCACAATCAGACAGTCTGTAAAAAATAAATCTCTTTAAACACTCTAACTCCTAGTATTTAATTTATAACAGGTTGCAATTATCATGATAATATTTAAGAGATTTTACTGGCGTTTGAGGTAGTCATTACATTTCCAACTTTGAGTGAAGTTTTGATAATAATGGGACACTGAGTTGAAGTACAAAGTATCAGTGTATGTATTTGAATTGGAAATTACATAACTCAAAGGAGGATTGGTAAGGACTTGGAGTGAGTAAAGCTGAAACAATTAGGAAGGAATTCTGTTTAAAGAAATTTAAGGAAAAATCACATATCGATTTATATGTTTGAAATTAAAACTAAAAGAATCAAGATATATTTTTAAGAAAAATAGATGGCGGGTTTTCATGTCGGTGAGATATCTGCTAATTACTAAATTCAGCACTTCTCTTCTCTCAGATTTTGGATTTTTTTTGTTTTTTTGCCAATGCAAGTATGTTTTTCTGATTTTGTGTAATACTACCGTCCAATGTCTGCAACTGTAGAAATACTGAATGGTCATAAGCTTAACATATTTCAGCAGTTTGATACATCTACGGCTCCAAACCATATCTAGTATTTCCCTACCTTGCTGTTATGTGCCATGATCTGACTACTACCCATCATAATCACTGTTTCTTGTTCTTTTCTACAGAATAGCATACAAAGATGTTTTTCAACAAGTCTGGGTCAGCCCCTGGTAGTAACATGATGCAGAGTTATATGGAGAAGCGGTTGACGACACTCCACAACTCCAGTTCCTCATCAGTCACCACCTACAAGGACAAGGTCCTCGCCTTCCTCAGTGGTGTCATCTTCGTAACGATCCTTCCATACATCCACATAGGTAATTCACCATTTCATTAACCTGTTCTACTGTTTACTTAATCAAAGTAAGGACGTCCCAGGTACTGGCCGCATATTGATGGTTTTATCCAGGCACTTCGTTTTTTCCCTGGCACATCCTTAAATGACCATATATAAATATAGCTGTTAATAGGAGGTAAAACATAAACAAACAAACAAACTTAATCAAAGTGCTATTGCAGCTATTATTATACCTCATCTGTTCTTAAACAGTGACTGTGTGTCTGATTGGATTATACTGATCTAGTGACTACAGCCTTTCCTGTAAAACCATTAACTGAAAATTGATAGAGAATGCAAATATACAATAACATTTAGTTGTGATCCGGTATCAGAGGTCTTCATTTTCACTTGTTATAACTCAATGCTTATCACAAAAACCATTGTCTATAATAGCTACAACACATACAGCTAGACATCCTCGATATCCAGGGGTTACGCTCACCTTTGCTCTCTACACCCCTGGAATATGTCATGGCAAAATTGAAGGCTCGGTGTACGCCACCTTGTTGATGAGACATGATGACTAGTTTGATCCTTTGATGTACATCAAAAGAATCTCGCAGTCATGTAATAGTAAAATTTGACAGGCTTTGAAGTTGGGCGTCTCTCCTTTGTAATCTTCAAAGGAGAGGTGTCACCCTAGCGATTGGTCAGTTTTTTTTTTACCCGAGACCAATCAAACAGCTATCTTCGTGCCTTCAATTTTGCCATGACATATTCCAGGGGTGAAGAGAGCGAAAGTGAGCGTAACCCCTGGATATCGAGGATGACAGCTAGAACGAATGTCTATTTGCTTACACGGTCACTTCTCTGTTGTAACATTTCATTTTTCGAGTGCGAGTCTCACTGTTGGTAGGCAGAGTTTGCAAAATTCTGTTAACTGGAGCTATATTTTCAAAGTAAATATTTGAAAATCTTCAAAAACCTTTTTTTAAATCTACTAATCCTGGGCATCGGGTTAGAAGAATGATGATACTGGTCGGGTATCAGTTACAATACGAAGATACGATGAAAGTGCTAGAAAACCTTCCTTGCTAGTTTGTTTATATATTAATATTTTACCATTTACATGGAAAAGTCACCTTTGGACTGATTATATTTAGTCTACTTTTGCATACCCTTTAAAAGGCCTCTAAGAGAAGTATTGGTAAACTGGAGTATTTAACCTGCTATTCAGACTAATGCTGAATATACTTTCCTATATATATCTTGTTGCCCATTCTCTATCATGGTCACCCTATGAAGTGTCGGCTATTTCATGGCATGATAAAGTGTTCTGTAGAAAGGGCAAAGTTGTATTATAATATGTAACAGTTTGAGTTAAGGGTATACAATCTTTTCTCGTCATGCCAAAAGAAATATTTATTACAATTTCTATAACAAATGTTTTTCAGGTATAATCCATCTAAAAATCTGGGTGCCAGGAAAAGGGAAGGTGGACAGGAACAAGTGTACTTGTTCGTGCTTCGATACTGTATTCAGAGGTGAGTTTTACACAATACACACGCTTGTTCATGCTTCGATACTGTATTCAGAGGTGAGTTTTACACAATACACACATTTGTTCGTGCTTCGATACTGTATTCAGAGGTGAGTTTTACAAAATACACACGCTTGTTCGTGCTTCGTACTGTATTCAGAGGTGAGTTTTACACAATACACGTTTGTTCGTTCTTCGATACTGTATTCAGAGGTGAGTTTTACACAATACACGTTTGTTCGTGCTTCGATACTGTATTCAGAGGTGAGTTTTACATAATACACACATTTGTTCGTGCTTCGATACTGTATTCAGAGGTGAGTTTTACACAATACACACGTTTGTTCGTGCTTCAATACTGTATTCAGAGGTGGGTTTTACACAATACACACGTTTGTTCGTGCTTCGATACTGTATTCAGAGGTGAGTTTTACACAATGCACACGTGTTACATTAAAATTTTTGCAATGTTTTCAGTGCACAAAAAATTGTAAATGTTGTTATTGGTCAAAGGGGGACAACTCCACACCAGAACAATAAACTTATGCTGATGAAAGTGATTAGTTCCACAAGTATAAGAATGAGGAGTTAAATTCAGTTAATGTGTCAGGGTTATGACCATGGTTACTATAAATATATGTCACAAATTAAGCTACAAAGGCAAAGGCAATATAATTTTTAAAAAATCGTCTCTAAATTCATTTCTAAAAATATTTTTTTATCAAACTTCTTAAGATATTCAAATATAGATATGTCTCAAACGTGATTTAGCTTCGTTGTCAGGATGTTAAAGCCAAATACACTAGTACCATTTTTGGAAATCTTCATGCCTCTAGAAACTTTCTAATCTCAACTAACACAAATGAAAGTTTATTGTATTACAATAAGGTTCCATTGAGAAGATCTAAATCCATCTGTCCATAGTATTTGTCTGGATAATAACTTGAGAATGATTGATCATACAAAGATCAAACTTGGTGTTTGGTTTGCCCTAGTGGATACAAAGAACCCGATCCATTTTGGGCATGGTGTCGGAGAAGTCAAGGTCACTGTTGCTAAAAGTAGTATTCTGCTTGGTAGGGCTTGTCCAGATAATAACTTGAGAATGTTTGATCACACAAACCTCAAACTTGGTTTGTGGTAGCCCAAGAGGATGCAAAGAACCCTGCAGATTTTGGGCTTGGGGCCCCAGAGTTCAGGGTCACTGTTGCTAAAAATAGAATTCTGCTGGGTAGGGCTTGTCCAGAAGATTACTTGATATACAAAGTTGAAAATGTGCCAATAATAACATAAGAATGTATTACTATACAAAGTTCAAACTTCCGGTTTTGGGTTCCCTATTGATTGTGACTAAGCCTATTGGTTTAAGGGGCAGTCAGTCAAAGTTCAAGGTTACCATTGCCAAATAGATAATTTTGCTTCTCTGAATGATAATGATAACTTAAAATGTATGGACATACAAACTTCATACTTGGTTTAAAAGTAGCCCTTCTATACATAGTCCTATATAGTCCTATGAATCCGCCTGAAGAAGCCCTAGAAGGCAGAAAGGCCTAGCGGACGATCTGAAAAAAATGTTTTTATTCTATACATAGTCCTATATATATATACTCCACAAGTCTTTAGTGTTCCTAGTTATATTGATGATTGTACAAAGTCTGCATTTTGTATACAGAGAATAGGTAGCATGTCCACATAAAATTATTGTAAAACTGATTGTACAGTTTTCTGCTCAAACACAAATCCATGATGGGTCAGTAGAAATCCTGAATGTAGTTTTTTTTATGGGGGGGGGGGGGTATGCTGCACCTGGTTGCTCTTTTATTTGGTTCATCTCCTAGTTACAAAAACACTTCGCAAAACGTTTTAAATATAAATAAATTATAAAATAGGAACTGGTATTATTTATGATTACATACTTACATTACTGATATGCAAATCTAATTTCAAAACCTGTCAGAATTTAACTCACAGCAAATGTGCCAGATTAATTTATACACGAACAAGGCATTTTAATTAACAAACAATCCTCCGAAGAAAGTAATGTTTAATACATTTAAAACGAAAATGTTTTATTGATATTTTTCTCAATAAAACTCTCACTTTTATTGGTTCTGATGATGGCAAGCCTAGCTAGCCGAAACATGTAAACCGGTAATAAAACTACGGAATCCAGATGTTGAGGCTCCATCGTTTATATCTTTTTTTATTTTATTTATATGTAATTTTTAGGTCAATATGAGGATCAAGGGCCAACAACTTACAAACATGTATACTTCAACGCCACCTGGCAAACAATGCGGATTTGGCTGTTCACCGTGATCTTCGTCCTCCTGGCGTATGAAAGCATTAAGTACCTCATTCCACTGATTCGTCGGAGAAATCTGCGACCTGCTATGTTCGCTTTGTATGTTGCGAACCTGTATCCCCACTATTACTCCTGGTGGTCGTACTTCAGTTACTACAACGAGGACTTTTACGATTACTACAAACATCATATGCTGTTCACCATCACAGAAGTCATCGCTACGTGCCTCGTGTTGAATTTATGCGATAATCGTAATGAAATAGTATCCTGGAAGATACTAGCAATAGTTAGCATCAACCTAATGCACATATCGGTGGAAGGTTCCGACCAGTTTATACAACATGTGGTTTACGGCAAAGGATCTCATTTCCAGAATGCCAGGAATATCGGACTCATGATTCCCGATCTGTTACATGTTTTTATTCCATTATATCTACTCTATAAATTTGCCAAATCAAAAGATTTAAAGCTTTCAGAACTTTGTTATAAAGAGGAACTGTTCATGTGTATCATATTTATTTCGTTCGGTACTCTCATAGGGCGGTTGATGTAAGGTTATGTGATGAATACATGTGAAACTTGTTATGTGTTAAATGTATTGTTGCACCTGCTACTCAATTTAAAAATGATACAAGTGTGCCTGGTTTTCAGTTTACACTTTATGTATCTTTGAAATTTAGTTTTTATATCAAATACACAAATTTTTATTTGTTATTTTTTCTTGATACTACTAGTAGTTATGGAAATACAATCTCTACTAGAAACAAAATATACAAAAATAAGTTATAGATTTCAGATTTTTGAATATTTCCTGTATCACATTCAAGAAAAAAAGTATAAATCTATTTGAGAATGGGGGCAAAATTTTGCCAAATTAATTTGGAGTTTCTTAAGTTAAGATAAGGTTGAGCAATCTGGGGGCAACACAGGTGCTTTTTTTGTTGTGGACCAAACACTTAATAAACCTGATATTCCAATGTTAAATTTCCACATTTTATATGTATATATAAATGTTTTGTTTTATTTAAAACATGTATGTGTTCAAATATTGGATTGGTTGGTGCATCATTTTACTACAGCAATATAATGTAACAGTAAATGTGTATTTCCTCTTCATTGTTGTGAGGTGCAGGATGTGCTTCTTTTGTCATATCACCTTAGTTCCTGTTTGTGTTGTTACTTCCTGTGGGTTGTTGTAGTTACTTCCTGTTGACTTGTATGATAACTACCTGTTGACTTGTGTTGTTACTTACTGTTGACTTGTTTGGTTACTACCTGTTGACTTGTATGATAACTACCTGTTGACTTGTGTTGTTACTTCCTGTTGACTTGTATGATAACTACCTGTTGACTTGTATGATAACTACCTGGTGACTAGTGTTGTTACTTCCTGTTGACTTGTATGATAACTACCTGTTGACTTGTGTTGTTACTTCCTGTTGACTTGTATGATAACTACCTGTTGACTTGTATGATAACTACCTGGTGACTAGTGTTGTTACTTACTGTTGACTTGTATGATAACTACCTGTTGACTTGTGTTGTTACTTCCTGTTGACTTGTATGATAACTACCTGGTGACTAGTGTTGTTACTTACTGTTGGCTTGTGTGGTTACTATCTGTTGACTTGAATGAATACTTCATGTTGACTTTTGTGGTTACTTCCTGTTGACTTGTGTGATAATTTCCTGTTGACTTGTATTGTTACTTGCTGTTGACTAATTGTGTGGTTACTTCCTGTTGACTTGTGTTGTTACTTCCTGTTGACTTGTGTGGTTACTTCCTGTTGACTTGTGTTGTTACTTCCTGTTGACTTGTGTGGTTACTTCCTGTTGACTTGTGGTGTTACCTCCTGTTGATTTGTGTGGTTACTTCCTGTTGACTTGTGTGGTTACTTCCTAATGACTTGTGGGGTTACTTCCTGCTGACTTGTGTGGTTACTTCCTGTTTACTTGTATGATAACTTCCTGTTGACTTGTATGATTACTTCCTGTTGACTTGTATGGTTACTTCCTGTTGACTTGTATGATACCTTCCTGTTGACTTGTGTGGTTACTTCTTGTTGACTTGTATGGTTACTTCTTGTTGACTTGTGTGGTACTTCCTGTTGACTTATATGATTACTTCCTGTTGACTTGTCTGATAATTTCCTTTTGACTTTTGTGGTTACTTTCTGTTGATTTGTGTGGTTACTTCCTGTTGATTACTGTATGTTGACTTGCTTGATTTCTGTCCAGTTCTATTCTCAGATGTTTTGACTTTGGGATGTTGATTTTCTTATTGACTTCAGTGTTCGGTCCATGTTTCTGATAAATATTTTGATGATACCAATTTGGTATATGAATGTAAAAAATAAGTCTTATTTGAAAGATTGTAAGCTGGTATCCTATATTATTAATACCTACAGAAGAAAAATTATAATAACTATTAATTTAGCTACTGTGAGCTTACTCAGTATAAGTATATTATATTTTTTTCTTAACAGATCTGTATAGACTGAATATAGATATATAAAAAATTATAAAGAATTGAAATTAAGAGTAAACAAGATATGTTTGTACACAGACATTCCTTTTTCTATTATATATACACTCTGTAATGTTTTTAATATATACACAAGTATAGATGACTTAAAAACCAGCTGCTTTCACCCAATCACAGGGCTCTTCAGGTTTATTATGCTTACTCTCTGTTACTTAAAACCTGAAGAGCCCTGTGAAGGGTGAAAGCAGCTAGCCTTTTAGTCGATTGTTAGTTCTTATTTTTTCTTTATTTACTTACTTCACATGGACATTTAATCATTTTTTATTACACAAGTATAGATATATATATCCACTGTCAGCTGACTATTTTTTGATATGATGGATGGAAAAAGATATTTTTTTTATCTGACTTATATTGTATTTATATTGGCTGTAACACATACAGTTCTGAATAAGTTTCCATTTCTTATTTAGAAAAGGATCTGCCCAGATACAACCTTGGAGAAGATTTGTAAATCTTGTGATAAATTGAAATGAAGTTAAAGTTTATTCTGATCACATAACAAGAATTTCTTTATGGAACTTTCATCAATTTTTTATTATTACCATTTTTACTTCATATATATTAATGTCCACGACTTGGACATCATGTTTATTGTCTTAGTAATTACGTCACTATTTATGCAATGAACAAAAAAATAACAGGTGTATATTGGTTGCGTAAACCATTTCATTTCTGTAACAAGGAATATGCCCTCATTGGATACACACAAGAAATCTCGCCATATGATACCATTTCATTCTTATGTGTGCACCAATGTATTTGTGTAAAAACCTTAATATTTGAACTGAATTGTTTGCGGTATTAAAAGTGGATGTCATTTTAACATTACGTATCAATGAATCATGAATTGTTTGCGGTAAGTGGATGTCATTTTAACATTACCTATCAATGAATCGTGAATTGTTTGCGGTAAGTGGATGTCATTTTAACATTCCGTATAAATGAATCGTGAATTGTTTGCGGTAAGTGGATGTCATGTTAACATTCCGTATAAATGAATCGTAAACTGTTTTTTACAATGTTGATTGTTTTCAATATGAAACGACAATACTTGGATAAGTTTTCTGAATAAAGAAGCAATATTCTGAAATGATATGATAAACTGTTTGTATGTGTTAGTGAAAATCATATTGTTTCTTATTTGTATTGAAGGGTGGTCCCGATAAGCTAGTATCTATCACTTCAGATCCAAGTTCTATTAATACGGTCGGAATATAGTCAAGATGTACCATATACGCTTCCACGTAATTTTCTGGCTTGGTTCTATCAAACTTTCAGGATTGATGGGGATTTGTTTATCGATAATATCACTATGTTAGCTAGGGTGGTCGGTTATTGCAGTGGATAGCACAATTGCGTTTCGTCAAGGCGGCTGGAGTTTGATTCTCCCCGATCGGACTTGAAAAGGTACCAAGTCTCCTGCTTCAGTTCTCCCCGATCCGACTTGAAGGTACGAAGTCTCCTGCTTGGGCATGTAAGTCCAGTTTCCTCCCACATTAAGACCCATTGTGTACTTCCATCCAAGGCACAAAAAAGTTATTTATGTAAGTGGAAAAAATCTTGTTTCATATTTGTGATAACTCGTTTTGAAAATCGATTTATGGCCGTCATAACAGCTGTTGTCCAGAGAAAAGCTTTGTAATAGAGGATTGGAGCGTATGTTGATTGTTTTTTTCTACTAGATACATAAATAGAATAAAATGGTTCACTGCACCTTAACGCTGTGATGCTCTTTTTCAGAAGGGTCCTATGTCAGGAGAGTTTTGTCTAAATAGCCAAATAAAAAAAGCAGAAAAAAATATAGATTAGTCCAATTCGAAGCTGTGAAGCTGTATTAGAGGGATGGTAATTAGGTGAATGGGTTGTGTATTCTAGATACACAAAGAGAAATAAAAATGATTTGTATCCACCTTGAAACTCAAAACCAGAATTGACGACTACTTATTATTTATTGCCATCAGACAGTAGTGCCGATAAGTCTGCACATAGTTCACACCCCATTCTGTTGTGCTTCTAATATTGAATTTAGAAATAATCTACAGATGAGCATGATGAGAAAATGTTGGGGCAAAACCCAGTAAATCAGCAAACATTTGTATTGATTAGACACTAGGAAGTGTTCACCTTCGGTGTCCAGAACAATAGAAATTAAGGATTAAGTTACGTTACACATAATGTTTCTGACCATTGTCTGAGTTATCCTCCTTAAAACGTTATACAAGTATCTAATACATCAGAACCTTATGTGTGCAACAAAGTTAGTATTACTATTGAAAGAAGAGAGTTTACTTTGATGGCACCGATATTCCTGCCCCAGTAAGGTTAAGTACATCTGCAACAACGTACCGTGTTTGTGTATATACATACAATGCACGTGTAAATGCCGAGGGGTGGTTTTTTTACCTTCTGTAGCGCTTGGTTGAGTAACGTCTTACTGTCACTTCAGTTAGCAAAAGAAAAGAATTGATGTTAAAGAACAATGCTTACGATTTTAACTTGTAGCATGAACTGTCCGTGTCATACACAGTGCGACTCGGTATAAGATCTGACTTTATTAAGATTCACGAAAAACTGTCGTATTGAAGGCTTCCAATGACGTTCCAACGAGTACCAAAGCTAAAGTTTTTAGTTGCAGCATTTCATTCTAGTGTTGACATATACCCGCCCAATAATTCCCATCACCGTCTGAGTGGTGCCCTGAACTTTCTCAAGTGACGTATACTGATGGGAAATGATGCTTTCCCTCCCACCATTAATCTGTATCCTATGGACACCTCCTCATACGGTACGAGGTTACCCGAATCCGAATATATGGAAGAAAATCCAGTAGTCTGTAACGTCACTTTGTTCGGCTTCAAGGTTGGTCGCCTTGATTCCATTTGTTCATTTTGTCGGATGTACTCTTGTACACATGCGCATCTATGATGCCACCAATTTTTCAGTTTCCGTTTCTCTGCGTTTCGAATGTCTTCTTTATTTAGACACGCACTGAGTGAATTTGAATCCTTTACAATTTGGATAGAATGCTTGCACCCGATGTCCATATTTGACCTTGGCCTTGGTGAAGGAACTTGAAGGTTGTGCACGTGCAAGGCAGGAAGATGTGAGAACGCCGTGTCCTCGCCTGCCAATATGACCGGCCCTTGGTATGAGCTATAATGACGTACGCAACAATGTTTGGAAACAGGACCACGTGGTTTCGTTTTAAACTTTGCCCGATGCCTGGCAGCAATTGCTCTTTCTGCTGATTCATCAACAATTAGATTACCACCACAGTCGCACAAACAGCCCGGCAAAACGTCACTTCCATTCTTTGTGTCACAACAGGTCACACGATCGGAATTGGATTTCGCGTCCTCCGTTTTTTCATCGACATTGGTATCCCTGGGAATCACTATTTGTTGTGTTTTTGTTGTCGAGTAGTCTCTTGTTTCCGGTGACGCTAATTCTTTACCCCTCGCGTCTGCCTCTTTCACCTTCTGTAAAGTACTTTCGATTAGTTTAAACCTTCCTCCGTCACTCAGTTTTTTTAACTTACTGCTTACTTTAGGCGATGCGTCTTTTTTCTTTGGTTTATCGAACACGATATGCCCAGGAACTGACTGTCGAACTGGCCTGCTATCCTTATGACGACCTACACTGGGGTCCTTGACATCGACGATGCTCTTTTTCGATTGGTTGCCAATTTGCTGTCTTGATTTCGTTGCCTGCTTCCGGTCATCCTTTATGAGGCTGGTGAGATAACCCAACTCATTTGACATTGATTGCACGCGTTCCATCTTGCTTTTTGTTGATTCGATCAAAATTCTTGAATTTTTTATGAAATCATCATGAGAATCTTCAGTGTTTGCTGTTGAAAAAAAAAGAGAAGAAGATGATAAATGATATAGTAATAATTTTTTGAAGTGGCTTTTAATTCCGCACCTTAAAATTTAGAAGAAGACTCACAATTTATATAGGATTAATTAAAACTAACCATACCAAGCAAACAGTGCTTAGCCAAAAACGTTATCGCAGCTACGAATCCAAATTGAAAAGATGTTAAATATATCCACATCGATTTCAAGAGTTCTTAATCGGCATTTTATCTGAAACCAATTCTTAGTAGAAACCAACAGGTTCGGAGAGCCGGTATCACTCGCCTGGATCACAGGGTCACGTTACAATCGCACATATGCTATAATGATATGGGTCCCAACACACAAACATATGACCCATGTCAGTATAGCATATGTGTGATTGTAACGTGACCCTGTGCCTGGATATTTAAGCGACCATGGGAAAATATTCTCATTCAATGTAATATCGCAAATATTTCCCCAAATTTGGCTGCGTTTCTCTGCGCTCGTTTGGAGCCAACCCGTCTTTTATTTACCATTTGATTCTCTGGTCAAAGAGGAGCTACGCAACTTCACATAACAGTTGATTCATAAGGGCAATGGTACTTTATAGTAACCTTGGCTGAGATCTGTAATGTGGTTAAATGTTTATATCTTAGGATCTCAGTTGTTTCTATGATAAGGCACTGTATGTTGATGATCTTGCGAATCTTTCGATGTAAGGCACTTGGACTAAGTCCCGGAGTTTGGATTAAACCCAGAGTTTATCATTGAATCGTGATTTTGCTCATCATTCCATGCTCAGAAAGCATATCATATATAATACAGGATGGGGTTCTCATCCGTTTTCAATGTTTGACCAAAGGACTAAGTCCTCATTGTTCCCGAGAACTACGTGAGCATTCGCCTCTTCGTACGCAGCAATGATGTACACGGTTAAATTGACGGTGATAACCAAGGGGCGGGGCCAGACCCATGTGATGATCCTGGACATCTTATGCCTAGAGATTGTGTATATGTGATTATTAGGGATCTCTTCTATTTCTATATCATAAGATATACCACCGGAAATGGGTCTCCAGGAACCGGACCGAACGTGGGGTGGTCCAGTGAACTCGTGTTCAGAAAACTAATACCCCGAAATGCCGATGTATATGAAAGGTTTTAATCTACGAGGAAAGCCCTTAAAAAGTAGCCAGCACTGAGTAATAAGTATTTAAAATTACTCTTCTGGTTAATCTAGTGTTTATTGGGTTAAAAACAAGTATGTCAGTTATACAGTACTGTACATTTTTCACTGTATAAAATTCGAAAAGTTTACAGCTTTTTATTACATTCTTAGTGAAATATCGGATGTTATCAACTTGATAAAACTGATATATAATTTCACACCGTGACAAATATCAAATGTTTGGTATACACACTTAAGTATTTACATAAATATACAATTAATAACATTTTTATAAGCAATCATACCAGAAAATAGCAGAAAACGTCGGAATTGCGTTGAGTATCCCGTTCAAAATGGCGCGCAGCCTTGTCGTCAAGCTTGACGTCATTGAAATATGGCGCTTATTATTTCGCTTCTGATTCCTTATGCTTTTAAAATGTAATAAATAGAACATCTAATGGTGTCTTCAGTTATAACAAAATATTTCACTTGTGTAGCAAATATTTTGATATTTGCCACACTCGTAAAATATATTTGTTATTACTGAAGACACCATTAAATTTCCTCCATATTTCGTGATTGTATCACGTCCTGGAGTTTACGGTATGTCTGTACTTTTACGGCATTGCTTGTGTAATTAATTATCTGCCTCACCTCTACCATAAAAGTGCACTTACTACATACAAATAAACACGTCAATAATCACATTAAGTCACAATAACTATCCCGACAAATCATATTAATTATGTTTATTGTTGACAAACTTTACTTATACATAGTAAGACTATCACGGCAAATTGGTGCATACTGAATATTTAATTGGACTCGCGCCTTTATTACGCCGTTAAAGCGTCGAGTTTGTTATTTATTGATGAACACAGTGACGGACCAAGGTTTGGGACAGCCAACAAGTATGGTTAGCTCGACCATGGGACAGGAAACGGGTCTCAGTATCATGTATTTTTGTGCACGCACGCTATTCTGGGTGCTTTACTAGTCATTTTAATTTGCATTAATTAGATATGACCTTGATACTGACTTTCTATTCCATGTGATTATAGACCCATGGGTCAGTATACAATGGTTTTTTTTTTAATTTTAAATCTTAAGTGAAAGCGTCCTGAAACATTTTTTATCATTTAGTCTGGATGTTCATTTGTACGCTCCATGAAACCTACATATAGCTAGATACAGGTGTCAATCTTGCGCTGGATACATCGTATGTTCGTTTTCCATCGCCATAGAAACATCGAACCGTACTTATTACATGCAGAAATCTCTCTGTAACACATGTCCGGATTTGTTTTACCTGTAATGAACATACTTAATAATCACACAGGTTGATCAGCACCAAGTTAATCACTTCTAATCACCTTGTATCCGTTGTCATGGAGATAGACCGGTTAACACGGTAACTAAGAGACCAGTGTCTCTCGAGGACCAATTTATTTGTCACTACTCAGTACAGAGTATAAATAGACAGCTATAATAATCACTGGCCTGGGTAAAATATGATATAGCAGACAAGCTGTGTACATAGAGGAGCAAATATTGATCCATTCCTGATACATTAGATATATAAACATCTAAAATTGCATGTTTAAAGCCCTTCCTAACCTGCATTTTTATTAAAGGCGTTCTGTGATATTGTCAAGCCTCTAAATGAATGGGGATTTGTCTCTTTAATAATAATAATAATAATAATATTAATATACAACATTTATATAGCGCCCTATATAACTTGTAACATTACTCTAAGGCGCTTTACAACATATGGATAATAGTAATGGTTATAATTGTGAAAACAAACAACAAAGGCTTGCAATCACTTTCATACATTTAAAAAGCAATGTGCGCATAATTGAACAAATAAAAGGGTGGTATTTACATGACGTCTTTGCAAAGATTCTAAAATGCAGACGTGAAGAGGTGAGTTTTTATGTCCCTCTTGAACTTGGCCAGGGTATTTGACTTCCTAATAGCAGATGGTAAGCTATTCCACAACGTAGCCGAAACCCTCCCAAAGCATCTGTTTCCGTAGGATACAGTACGAGATTTTTGGACACACAACAAAGATTCTGACTCCGACCACAGTGATCTTGACGGCTGATACAGGGTAACAAGTTCCTGTAGGTACTGAGGAGCTGTGCCGTTCAGTGCCTTGTATGTGTATACCAGAATTTTGTACTGCGACCTGTATCGTACAGGTAACCAGTGTAACGAATAAAGCGCAGGTGTGATTTGCTCTCTCTTTCGAGTACGAGTAGCTAGCCGTGCTGCAGTGTTCTGGACGACTAGTTAGTTTGTCAGATATACCTCAGAGCAGGGCGTTACCATAATCCAACCGAGAGGTAACAAGTGAATGCACCAAAATCTTGCATGCATCTGACTTTACTGACGCCTGCTATACCTTTCAACCTCTAACTGAGTGAAGTTTTCTTTATCCCTTACTTTACCGGTACCTGCCTTAAACGACGTCCAGTACTAGCGTATCCTTTCTAAATGACTAGCGTTTTCTAACTTTTCTTTTATCTATTTTTTGTTCTCATTCTAACTTTACCGACGCCTACATTTCAAGACATCTATCATAATTCCAAGCTGACTGAGGTTTTCCTTTTTTGACACGGACTTAACATACATCTGATGTTAAGGCCATCCTGTAGTACCTGATAACCCCTAACTGACTTGGGTCTTCTTGCTTTAACCCTGAGATTATCGGCGTCTGACTTTAATGACATTCTATAATGTTGGACATGATAGTATATAGTCTAGAACGACAAAGCCTCTTTTAATCCTCTTTTTACCGACACACTGAAATTTTCGACTAAATTATCTAATATCTCTTGTCGGTAAAGCTAGGTGTTTCAGATATAAATTTTAACTAGACAATAGTAAAAATATTCTTGCTTTAAAAAACTCAGCCGTTATTCTGATTAGTGGCAGATGAAAGGTTTGCTTTGGTTTTGGTTTGGTTTTATATTGTTTAACGTCCTTTTAACAGCTAAGGTCATTTAAGGACGTGCCTCCATGTGTAAGCGTGAATGTGTGTATGTTTGCCGGAGACGTGTGTTGGTGTACTCTGATAAGTGCCGGATGACGGGAATTCACAAATGCAAGCACATACACGTAATCATGTTTATTTTTTCCTATGTGTTATTATGATTTTTTGGTTGAGAGTTTTATATCACAAATGGACCATTAACTATTTCATAATAAAAAAAGAGGCACATTTTTCAGTGAGAGTTTTGGCGATTTTTATCAAACTGTTTGCCAGTGAAATAATGGATTCTATCACTCTATGGATAAAACTGATTATCAGTAGTCTGACATAATCGTCAAATATACACACATTATATTCAACAGGAAAACATAATATCCTCCATATATTTAATTCTTAGATAATACTTTTGTGACACTAAATTGAACGTATTTATTTTTTACATAATGCTTATATTGGGTTTCGAAAATATCATCATTTGAATGTATAACGAATAGCAATAGAAAACAATATGCTTTGCCGTCATGACGTATATGAAACTTACCGTGAGCTGGTGATTCCTTAGGCTTGGTAGTAGGAGACATACTTCCTATCGTCCAAACCGCCCAAGGCCGCTGCTCATCAATATTATATATTTATATAGATTTGTCCTCCTATGCTGTACCTGTAAGCTGAAGTCCACATCCAAGATAAAACAGTCCTTTCTTCTCTATTTTACACATTCTTAGTTCAAGTGATGATATTTTTTAGAACCGCCGTGTTCTCGATTCGTCGATGAAACTATATAAACCTTGAATAATTGCGCCATTTCGGGATGGCGGGAAATACGTACATACGCGTTATCGTCGTCTGTGTCATCTACCGCTCCGTGTTAACGGTATGGCCGTGTCGTGTAGCACAGGCTACCGGACTAGATGTCCAGTGTCAGTATATCAACCGAAGTAGCAGACGATCACGGCTGAAATCTCGGCGCATCATTAATATTTTACACTGATTAGTGTATACGGCCTATATGTCTTTGCTGTGCTCCCAGTAAACAGACGACGTCGATCGTGTTTGTTTACACGCATGGGTTTTCTATAGGCCTACAGTGGTGAAGTGAGACAAACTCGATGTTCACTTTGTGATCAACAAGTTATTGGTGATGAATGCCACTATGTATTTGAATGTAGCTTTTTCGTACTGGAAGACGAAAATATATTCCCAGATATTATTTCCAGTTTTCAAATACATAAGTACTATCAAATTTCATACCGTGAACTATTTTGCACAACTGATATAAAATTGTTGAAAAACCTTTGTTACTTTCGGAAATGTGTTATGCAAACATTTCAGTCTCCATGCTAGCTGACCTATTCCATTGCTGTCTACTGTTATTATGTATGTTGCTCATATATCGTTCGTATCGATCTGACTGTTAAATAAAGTTCTGTTCTGTTAAAAATAATTAAGATGATATTAATTAATAAGATGTAAACATATCGTCGATAATTATGGAAACATATGAATGCCTACATATGTGTTGTTGTTTTCGGTTTGGTTAAAATAGAGAATTGCATGTTCACCCAATCATCAAATTAACATCTTCGCTAGCCAAGTGTTGTCTTCGTTACACTCCATACGAAGCGAACACTTGGCTAGCGAAGATGTGAATTAAGGGACTTGTGTGAAATAGTAGGCGCCATGGCACAAAACACTTCAGCAGTTATCGCATCTTTTAATTTGCTAGGGGGGACAAGGTTCTCAATGTTTTGCCTACATGAAATAACGACATATGCAGTACTTCAGAGATACGCTATGGAGGCTCTCGGAAGCCATCTAGTGTATTCAAGAGTGCAAGTTTAGTAAAAATAGGCATTTCTGATCTCAGAGTTCTTTTATTATACTTTTTCCGTTTTCGCAACATATTTGGATGAATTTCGAACATCATAATGAGATGCCCCTTCTTAGCGTAAGTGAGTATAACCCCTGGAATATCGTGGATGCAAGATGTCCCAAATATTTCATATCATGTTTAATGATTTGAAAATGTGTATTGATAAATAAATAAGGTATGTAGCCCTTTGGCAAAAATAAACATAGAAGCTCTGTAACTGTTTGTGCAGGAGCAGAACACTATACAATTGTTTCATGGCTATTTGGGGAACAGTCAAAACTATCATCCCGAGGTAGGGGGAAGCCCTGTGGAACTGTTTGCCCGAGGCCGCTAGGCCGAGGGCAAACAGTTCCCCCTACCGCGTTTATCAAATAAACGCTTGAACGGGACTCTCAAGGGGAGATTTCTGCGCATCGAATTCGCGCCGGGTAACAGTTCCCTCTGATAAGGCATGAAACAACTGTATACTGTTTCACCCCTACAGCCGAAATTGGACAAAAAAACAGAAACAGTCAAAAATGACTAATTCTAATTTATATAGACTATTGGGTAATAATCTCTTCTATTTAATGCATGCGTTCATGTTCAGTGTTTTTCTTCCCATTTTTTTTAAAATCACCCTTTTCTGTGATTTTTATTCTCTATTTCATCATACGACTAGAGTACACGCCCTCTGAAATATCTGGAGGCATTATATAGGTGAAGATAATAGAGTCGGTGTTAATTTATATCTGGCGTTGGGGTATATATTCTCTGAGGTTGATAAAAGTATAACAATTAATGTTTTGGTCGAAAAACAAACTTCTAAAAGGGGGTGGGGCAAGCATCTAGTGTCGCATTTGTTTATCGCTATTCAAATGATTGAACCGGTTCGACCAGAGTTGTTCGTTTATGAAATAAAGTCGGACCTAATAATCTGATGGTGCTTTCAGGCGAGCTTTGACAAAACTTTGTAAGGCCTTCATAAACATTTGTAGGTCCGCCAGGATTTCTACCCGGAAAAAAAAGTTAAAAACATAGAAACCAATGGAACGCCAAATTGACACATATTCAATTAATTTAAGACATGTACAATTCAATTGGAGATAGGTACAATTCAATTGAAGATAGGTTCAATTTAATTGAAGATAGGTTTAATTCGTCATATTTGAAACTATCTTTAATATAATGGTACATATCTTCAATTGAATTGTACATATCTTCTGAAGATATGTGCAATTATTTAAGGTTTAAAATTCATCTTTTTAACATTTATGAGGGTATGCAACACTGTTCCGTTCAAACATATTCCATGATTGACATGATGTGAAGCATGATGTGAAGCATGATGGAGAATATGTTTGAACGGAAAAAGAGGTATTTCAAACCTTATATTAACATTCTATTACATCCACTTTTATTATTTGAAGTTAAGAAAAAAATATCTTTTTTCACGTTAAAATGCAAAACACCGTCATGAAACCAACATTAATTGAACAGCCTTTTTCGCGGGAAAGATGATGCGTTGTCAACGGTGACAAAATACACAGTTGAGTAATAAACAAATGGTTCCACTTTGCATATTTTTTAATAATTTAATTTACATTACCAGCATGTTTAACAAGCATTGATTATCTTAAAACAAAAATACCATGTAAAATATTTAAGTTGCAGAAAGTCAGAAATTTATTCCGTGTTCGCGGAGAAGGCTGACCGTTTAAAAAAACCGGTTGTACAGCGGCTACGCTCATCAGGCAACGAAGCGGTTCGACTTTCAACGAGATAGAAAGTGCATCCCTGAAATGTGGAGTTTCATTAGAAACCAGGAGACGATTTAAAAGATGCTTTTTGCCGAATTTCACCTGCTTCAACACTTGCAACGGACGCTAGTGTAGATTCTAGAGGATAGTGACTTATTCTGTTCTGTTGAAAAGGACCTGTTATTAGCTCACTTGCCCGAAGGGCAAGTGAGCTTATGCCGTGGTGCGGCGTCCGTCCATTTTTACCCATTTTCAAGGTCACAGGGGTCAAATTCAAATATGTGAAAATTCTTTAAAAAACTTCTTCTCAATAACCAAAAAGGCATTGGATGAAGATATTTGGCCAGTAACATGCTGGGATGAAGCATGAAGGGCTACCAAGTTGATCAAACAAATGACCTCATCTATTTTCAAGGTCACAGGGGTCAAATATGTTTAAATTATTAAAACAACTTCTTCTGAATACCCAAGAGGCATAGGATAATGATATTTTGCCAATAATATACTGGGATGAAGGGCTCCCAAGTTTGTTCAAACAAATGACCTTGACCCATTTTCAAGGTCACGGGTCAAATATGTTTAAAACCTTTAAACAACTTCTTCTGAATTACCAAGAGGCCTAGGGTTATGGTATTTTGCCAATTAGATGCTGGGCTACCAAGTTTGTTAAAATGGATGACCTTCGCTCATATTCAAGGTCACAGGGATCAAATATGTTTAAAACTTTAAATGAATTGTCCTGAATGTTCAAAAATGCCATTGGGCCTCTTGTTTTGCTTGTTTTGTATGTGTTTGAATATGTCATATTTGTTTCAAAATTGTTTATGTAAAATCTTTGAAAAATAGACAATTATAATAATTAAAAAATAATCAGTTGTTTATGTAAATTTCAAATTAGCTACTAAAGATTGAGATAAACTTAAACCTTAGTTTCAGTCGTTTTGGTTAAATTGGTTACTAAAGATTGAGTGATAAAGGAAATAGTGAAAAGGTAAACAAAATTAAATAGAATCAGGAAAAAAAATGGAACAGGAAAAATGCAACAGCCAGATCAGGGTTCAAACAAGGGACCCTCCAAGACATGAAGGATGCTATACCAATTGAGCAACTAGCTGGTTGCTGATGAATGACCCTGTCCAGTTTTGCTACAATTGCTTAAAAATATTCTTAATCAAGATTTTGCTACAATTGCTTAAAAATATTCTTAATCAAGATTTTAAAGGGCAAAGGGCAAGTGGGCTTATGCCATGGCACAGCGTCCGTCGTCCGGCGTCAATATTTTACTTTAAACAACTTCTTCTCAATAACCAAAAATCCCAGGGTACTGATATTGGGCCTGCAGCATGCTGGGATTATGGGCTACAAAGTTTGTTCAAATGAATGACCTTGCCGACTTTCAAGGTCACAGGGGTCAAATGTCTTAAAATCTTCTTACGACTTCTCCTCAATAACCAAGAGGCCAAGGATACTGATATTGGGCCTGTAGCATGCTGGGATGAAGGACTGCCAAGTTTGTTCAAATGAATGACATTGATCCACTTTAAAGGTCACATGGGTCAAATGTAAAATCTTCAAACGATTTCTCAATAACCAAAAGGTCCAGGGTACTGATATTCGGTCTGTTGCATGCTAGGATGAAGGACTACCAAGTTTGTTCAAATGAATGAACTTGACTTATATTCAAGGTCATAGGGGTCAAATATGTTTGAACCTGTGATACAACTTCTTCTGAATAACCAAAATGCCTAGGTTGATGATGATATATTTGGCCATTAGCATGCTGGAATAAAGTACTGCCAAGTTTGTCCAAATAAAAAACCTTTTGACAACTTCTTCTGAATAACCAAGATGTATCAGGTGATGATATTTTGCCAGTAATATGCTCGGATGAAGGACTATCAAGTTTGTTCAAATGAATGACCTTGACTTACTGTTTATTCAAGGTCACAAGGGTTGATTATGTTAAAAACCTTTACAATAACTTCTTTTGAATAACCAAGAGGCCTAGGGTAATGATATTTGGCTAGTAGCATGCTGGGATGAAGGGCTACAAAGTTTGTTCAAATAAATGACCTTGACATATATTCAAGGTCACAGGTCAAATATGTTAAAAACATTTAAACGATTTCTTCTTAATAAGCAAAAGCCCAATGGTGCATGATATTTGGCCATTAACATGCTGGGATGAAGGACTACCAAATGAATGACCTTCGCCCATATTCAAGGTCACAGTGGTCAATATATGTTTAAATCTTTAAATGATTTGTTATGTATAACAAAACAAGGGCGTAGCTAGGCCCATCGATATGTGTAAGCCCAGGTGGGGGGCTCAGGGGGGCGGAGCCCCCCGACGGAAAATGACTTTTAAGATTTTACGAGGCATTCAAATTGTTATCCGAGACAGTTATTTAAAGACACATTTTAGTGTAAAATGCGCTGAATTAAAGAACATCACAATACTCATATTCGCTATTATGTTTATTTTACACTACACGTGCCCAACCAACATGCAATTTACAGCTTACAGCTAGAAACTTCTTGATAAAAGACACTTTCCTTTTGTTTTTGTGTTATTGATAAAAAATTCTCTGTGGACATGTAGCATTTCTAGCGAGGAAAGACGGTCTTGATTTGCCTTTGTACTATTCAGTAAAAAATATAAAGTGAAACGACTTCCGCTAAACTATAGTCATATATAGAATCAAATACTTTTCTAATCATGATTTTAGACATTGCTTATCAGACGCATTTTGAGTACGTTAATAAAAGCAGCTCATAAAATCAAATAAAGTAGCCCCTCAAAACAGAAGGAGAAAAATATATAATGTAAAGTTCTATAAGTTATATAGAGGTTCCCCAACGAGTGATGGTTGGTTATCATGTTTATCTAACTCGAGTTAGTTAATTTTCAAATTGTATAAAGACACGAAGTTTCCCGAGTGTCTTTTACAATTTTAAAATTAACTAACGAGAGTTAGATAAACATGATATTCTACCATCACGAGTTTGGGATCCTTTTTCTCCAATAATGTTCATATTTTATCTGGAAAGTCATGTTTCCCTTGAAGGTACACTATGTATGCATCCGATGGTGGAAACAATTGCCGTGAATCATGACGTCACAATGGAAGATGACGTCGCAAAGCATTGTTACGTGACGTCATAAGTAAAAAAATGACCAATGAAATCAGGTTGAGGGTGTTACTCACTAGTGGGTAACCAAAAATGTTTACCAACTCCTAGCATGTTTATCCAATGAATCGGGAGTGAGGAAACCTATAATGATTGTGGGAGAAAAGTATATAAATCCCGACCAATCTATCCTATTTTTTCAGTCATGCTACGTACCAGAAGTTTATTTTCTATCTAACCAGCCTAAATACCATGACGGAGAAAGGTCTGGGTCCCACTTTTACAATAATGCTAATTCATATTTTCCCTGCGAGAATGTATAAGAAGTCTTCATCCGATCATCTGATTAGAAAAAATAAATTCTTGTAGTTTCTATCGACAATATCGTTAAACTCAAGACTGTCTTAACTACATTGAAGGAAATTCAAATGTGTCCACGCTCTGTCACTGAGACGGTGTCGTCAATAGATTGTGGACAATTGTTCTGAATTGATTTCTTGCTGGGATTTAAATCCCATGTCAATGTACCATGGTCCTTGCTGGAGTATCTTTCTTGGATTTGGAGGGTCCAAGCACGTGCTATGCTGTGTGATACTTGGATTTGGAGGGTCCAAGCACGTGCTATGCTGTGTGCTGCTTGGGCCTGTGGATGGACTTGTTAGATTATCAGCAATATTTGCATGTACCGGATTTTTAGTAACCGACGTCGTGGCAGGAACTGAATCAGTATTACGTGATTTTGTCTTGAAGAAGGTATATTTTTAAATATTGGAAGCCTTCTTCATTTTGAAAATTTACTTCTGTCAACATACTGAAACACCGAAAATACCGGATTGGAAGTAATAGACGACCATGACATATTAGAGTATTATAAGCGTTTAGTAAATAATTAATACAAAGGTCAATTAAGATATCTTGATAACATGGTGTCATCTTTTGTTTTGTTTCAGTGGCTACTTTTTTGACAATGGCACACACAGATTTTTTATGTGTAAGCCCGGGCTTTTTTTCCCCCTGTGTAAATATTTGATATATATGATGTTAATTTTGCGTTCCATAGAAACCGGTTGAGCGGTCAGCCGGATACGCGAAAGGGCCTAGCTGATCTATAGTAGTCGCTTACACACAGAAAAAATATATATACAAATTTCAGAAACATTTTAAATAGTCTAAAACGGGTTTCCAGTAACAAAACAAGATAATTTTAGAAATAAAACCGTGATTGAAAAAGAAATTGCAGAAAACTTCTCTTTCTAAAGGGACATGTTCAGTTAAAAATTTATATAAAATCACAAAAAATGAATAAGTTCTTAATGCATTGACGCGTACGTACGCAATAAGTTATCTGTGACTGTATACATCGAAAGATGAAATACACAGCCCATGTTGGCTAACGGTACAAGGAATCGTGGCCTCGTTCAACCAGACCATAGACCTGACCAGACGCAGTCAACAATAGTCTGATTGAACGAGACTAAAGAACCATAGACTCAATCTCCATTGTGTGTGTGATTGAAAAGGAACGACAACTCTGGGTAGAGATTGCCATGGACTGTGTTGAAGTTTGGCGGGAAAAAGGTGTGTATTTCCGTTTCTCTTTGACCTTTGACCAATAAATTCACTTCCGGAAAACTAAAACGTTGTTTACATCGAGGAATGTCTGCCGTTTGAAGCTAATTAAGTGACATCCCCACAGGCGGGTAACTAAACTACATGACATTTTGTTTAATCTTGTTGTTAATTAACAACAAAGTGAAATATATATGTGAATTCCACGCATGTTTGACTCTCTTCACATAGAACGGCTACTGACAGCTGAAGGCCTGATGGAGTGATGCGTGAATCCGCGAAACGAGTGGGCCGAAGCTAATCATATCGACATGCTGATCATGCACAGAAACTAACGAAATTGTAGCACTTCCATTGTTCAAAGTATTTCAGTAAATAAGAAAGTCCCTATATGTATGATTTATAAGTCGGTGTGATTGTAATAGAAATAACAAAACTCTACATACTGCGTATGCTGCAGGAATTTGGCCGACCCCAGTCAGCTGACTAGCTATTGCTCAGGTTTCATAGGGGAATAAATCAGAATCCAAAGGTCAGTTAAAGAATGTTGTCATTGAAATTGTAATAATATGAAATAAACATTGTGGTATTGTTATCTTTTTATTTGCCTATTAAACTCTAAGAAATGGTGGACTCATGACAGCAGAAAATCTTCCTGTTTTTCATAGGATTTCTTCAAGATAATTTAAAGCTGTTTTATATTTTGTATGATCAGTATTGTGTTAGAATAGTGGCCACCAATAAATGTGACCCTGTTAAAATACTAGCTGCTTCCTACCGACTAGGCTAGGGAGAATTTCTCTTTAGCTCATTTGGTATAGAGCATAAGACTAGTAAACTAACTAATGCCTGGGTTTGACTCCAAGCAGAAGCATTAAAAAAATAACGATTGACCTCTGTTACATTGGGGTCCAGGTAATATTGACAAATACACTCAACAATACTTTTACAAGAATCACAATATGATCCCTGGAAAACTTGGGACAAGTTCTTTCCTAGAGGGGGAGTACATGTCACCCTGGTAAAATACTAGATGCTTCCTACGGACTGACGGTAGAAAGCAGTTGGGGAGAATTTCTCTTTAGCTCATTCGGTAGAGCATAAGTCTATTGATCCAGAGGTCTAGGGTTTGACTCCTAGTGGAGGCATTGAAAAAATATTGACCTTTGTTACAGAAGTAATAACAGATAAGACACAATGTTGAAGATAGCTGGTTGTTTGCTGTCTACTTAGTGAAAATCTACCTCAAAGTAAAGAACAAATACAATTTTTTTATTTATATAAATTAAATTCATAGTCAAATTCAATGAAAACATAATAAATTAAATTGCATTCTGCGCAGAGTTCATTCTCAAATTCCAGGGACTACTCTCATTTATGTTCTCTGCACCCCTGGAATATGCCACAACAAAATTAAAGGCTCAGTATGCACCACCGTGTATGATACAAGTAGACTGGTTTTGTCTTTTAGTTTGCATCGTATGGCAGTGTAAAGCTAATATTGACAGCCTTTAAGAAAGATGTCTCTCCACTGTTAATCTTAAGAGGACATATATCGGCCTAGTAATTGGTCAGGTTTTTTTTACCCCAAACCAATCAAATGTAATGCATATAATATTTTATGTAAAAATTGCTTTTTTAATCGTTGTCATTATTTATTTCAGAGGACATCATCACTTGTGTTGTCTTTGACCCAGAAAACAAGGCCTGACAGATCAATGAAAACTCCTATAGGGCGACAGCACTGTATGTGTCATGTTTTTTGACTTGCTATTGACGCTGAGCTAGAATGGCTCAAAATGATTGCCAGAAGTCATATGCGGTCAGCATTTCTTTACCGGATGAACAGGTCTTCAGGAACCTGAAAAATGCCAAACATTTTGCAATTGACATAGGTGTGTGTAAATTTGCTTATGTGTTGTACCAAGATATTGTGTTAATTTATGTTACACAAAGTCTATGTGCATGAAACCATAAAAGAGTGTGCATTTTAATCAGAGATCAAGGTATTCAATTGTCCGTTGACAGTAGCAAGTTCAGAAGTCAAGCATCAGAGCTTGAGACATGGTAGTCTAGTGCAAGGACGCTGTGCTCGTGACCGATGGGTTGCAGGTTGGAGTCACATTATGGCACTGTATCCTTCCACTATATACTTTACCTCTTTGAGACGACATAGGTTGTGGAAAAGTGGTATATAAGAAACATGAATAATAATTATTTTTTATATCATTTCCCATGGTTTGAGACAGTCAAAATACATGTCAGATAGACATGGCCTTTCAAACCAAAGAGTCAAAGTTCATTTTGGAGGCAAAACGATATTCTCAAGGGTCTACTGAAAGTCCTTGAGATGTATAAACCACCTCCAATGTTAAATGTATAATGTATCATGTGTCGGTGTGCATTTATCTCATAGATATGGAACTTTTTCTGTATGTATAATGTAATTGATAATACCATAGTTTTCAGAAAAGTGACAATACACATGAAAAAGAATGAGATAATTTTCTATGCATGAAATAACTCATTTAAATGATGAAAATATACAAAATGCCATGTAATCCACACATTGCATTAAGAGGTTGTATACATGCAGCCATTATTACATTGCTGAACGGCTCATCAACACATGAGGGCTAATAGATATCGGTAACAAACCACAAGCTTATGAGGCACTTGTGAAGGTGAGGTAAGCTGAACTGTAGATTATATATAAGGAAAGGTTATTACTTCCATACCGTCGGCAAGATTTCCAATATCATTAAAATGTTTTATGTTATTCCACTTTGTTTTGAATAAATAGGTGGTTCTCTGGCCAAGCTAGCCTATAGCTCCACGCTACAGCGAAGGACCTCCCTGGTATTTGAGGACTTGTGTGAGGTGAGTTTTAGCCTCACTGACCAGGCCATGATCCTGTTCTCTTTTAAACTCACAACATTCATTATATTGTAACAATTATAATTCTTACAAAATTGAATTTTCAATCACGTATACACCTTTTTATTTTGGACTTAGCCGGTTTTGCAATACTGCAACAGTAGTGAATTGAAGACATTATTTAATTGGTCCTTATCTAGTTTAAATGGGTGTGCAGTTGGTATTGATATACATATGCTGAATTAATGAGTTAACCAATGTCAGGTGGGGTGGGTAGCTTGGATGGCTGATCATGAGTGCTCTACATTTGTTGATTAAGTAATCTGCTCCAATATCAAGTACTGCATGTGCACTATAAATTTACCTGTGATTCAAAAAAAAATCCAAATTTTTGTATGTGATCACAAAAATCTGTCGGACTGGATTTTCGATTTACTTTTAATGGTGCAAAATCAACAGTATCCTCAGTCAGTAGACGATACAACAAGTATCAGGCCTTTCAAACTGATGTTATTTTACAAAAAAAATGAACTTCATATTGCTAGGTACAATAAAGAGATATTGTAATATCTATAATTATTGTGTCATTGTAGGAAAATCAATTCCTTGGAGAGCTTGTTAACCCATTCACCCTTAAAGTCACATTTGAACCTTACCAAATCAAAGCCTGGCACGCCCAGTTTAAAAATGTAGGGGTGATTGAGTTAATGGTATTTAACATGCCAGCTTAAAGCTTAGTCTGAACATTGTAACAAAATGCCTAGTTTGTGTAATTGCAGTTGGAGGGAGCTGGTAGTATCTACCAGGTATCTGAGGAAGATGAGTTCACAAACCGCCTCCATTTTGTCAAGTTTGAGACACGACTCATTGAGACATGTCTGGACTTCATCCAGAGACACCTGAAGGGATCACCCATGAAAGACAAGGTCATCAAGGCTACAGGGGGCGGAGCCCATAAATATCGAAACCTCATCAACTCAAAACTGGGTGTACAGTGAGTATTTTAAGTTTATTCCGACCATTGAGAAAAAGAAGATGTTGTACAGTAACCAATAAAGGGACTCTGGATTCAAAGTAATAAAATAATCAACAAAACTAGGAAAATTGACCAAATCCAACTGTTGATTGCCATTTGAATGTATTCATATTTAAGTGAGTGTACATTGTATTGCTGTTGTTTTTTTTCCTAATCAGAATAGACAAAGAAGATGAAATGCAATGCCTCATACAGGGATGTAACTTTCTGCTACAAAACATCCCGGACGAGGCATTCTCCTATCATCGTCACGCAGAACCAGAGTACAAGTTCCAGGGAGTGAACCATAATGTCTTCCCTTACCTCCTGGTCAACATAGGGTCAGGGGTTAGCCTGATCAAGGTGAGGTCATCATAGGGTCGGGGGTTAGCCTGATCAGGGTGGGGTCAACATAGGGTCAGGGGCTAGCCTGATCAAGGTGAGGTCAACATAGGGTCGGGGCTAGCCTGATCAAGGTGAGGTCAACAAAGGGTTAAGGGTTAGCCTGATCAAGGTGAGGTCAACATAGGGTCAGGGATTAGCCTGAACAAGGTGAGTACAACATAGGGTCAGGGACTAACCTGATCAAGGTGAGGTCAACATAAGGTCAGGGATTAGCCTGAACAAGGTGAGTACAACATAGGGTCAGGGATTAGCCTGATCAAGGTGAGGACAACCTAGGGTATCCTGATCAAGTTGAGGTCAACATAGGGTCAAGGATTGGCCTGATTAAGTTGAGGACAACATAAGGTCAGGGTTCAGTCTAATCAAGGCAAGGTCAACAAAGGGTCAATGGTCAATCTTATCTAGTTGAGTTCAACATAGGGTCAGGGTTCAGTCTAATTAAGGTGAGGTCAACATAGGGTCAGGGTTCAGTCTAATCAAGTTGAGGTCAACATAGGGTCAGGGGTCAGTATGATCAAGCGGAGTTCAACATATAGGATCGGGGTTCATTCTGATCAGGGGAGGTCATGTTTGAGTCAGGGTCAGTCTAGTCAAGGGGAGGTCATGATAGAGTTGAAGGTCAGCCTTGTCCAAAGTAATGTCAAAACATCTAGATCTGGGTAGGCGTTAGTCTTGTTAAAGTATGGCCATTGTAAGGTTAAAGGTCAGTCTGATAAAGTTGAGGTAAACAACAGGGTTGTGGATCTGTCTGATCAAGGTGAGGTAACTGACAACTTGTTAGCCTGCACTTGAATTGATTTAAAAGTACATGTTTATCATCTTGAACAAATATTTATATATTTAATCTAAATTATCCGAAACTTGTATAAGATATTACTTTTTGAAAATAGAATGTAAACGTTTTGCTATCGCAGTTATCAGTGATGTTGCATTAATTCATTTATTCTTCAAAATAACATCTTTTCTTTAGGTGGATTCTGAAACAAAGTTTGAGAGGATTGGTGGAACATCAAATGGAGGCGGGACATTCTGGGGTCTGGGCTCACTGCTGACAAAAGCCAAGGTAGGCTACACGTTAGACATCTGGACATTCTGGGGTCAGGGGTCATTGCTGACAGGCCAAAGTAGGCCATAAAATAGGTCACAGAGTAGTAGTGCAACATTTTAGGACTTGGGGTCATTTGTGTCAGTGGTCAAGTGGACAACACATTACTGATAGGTATTGTTGATTACTAAATGCTCTGAAACAGTACATTGAAATTGTAATGTGGCAACATACTCTTTATTATATTTAACAAAAAATATTGCAGTTTTATGAAAATTTGTGTTTATGCAATGAACTGATTAGCTATTAAATTAAGTATCTATAAATGTGTAATACAGACCTTTGATGAGTTGCTGGAGTTGGCAGAGAAGGGAGACCATCGGGAGGTGGACATGTTGGTCAAGGACATTTATGGTGGAGAGTACTCAAGTATTGGCCTAACAGGAGATGTTATCGCTAGCAGTTTTGGCAAGGCTACACAACCACATAAAGATCAAGGTAGGCCTAATCATCACACCCTGTTCAGGGTAGATCACACACTCACACACTGACCAGGGTAGGTAAAGCAGTAACAAAAAAATCACAGTAGGCCACACTGTCGCACATGGACTAGGATAGTCAAACTTTGACAATGGGAGGTAACACTGTCGAACAAATGCCTAGGTAAGTTTCACAATAAACAAAGATCAAGATAAGTCATACTGTCACAGAAATACCTGAGTAAGACCCACAGTGATGAAAAGACTCAGGTATAATTTGCACAACCTCTCACAGGTATAGGTAGGTGACAGTTTAATGTCGCACACAGACATGGTAGGTCACAAATTAGAGTCTTGCACATACTAGGGTTAAAATTCACATTGTATGTTAAAAAAAAATCGTTTCTTTTCTCACAACTTCCTCCTTAAAATCAATTTTCATTATCATTTCAATTTTCACTCTTCAGAATCAAGCTTCAAGGAGGAAGACATAGCTCGGTCACTCCTGTTGTCCATCAGCAACGACATTGGTCAAATAGCCTGTCTCCATGCTCGGATGCACGGACTGACCAAGATCTACTTCGGAGGCTATTTTATCCGGGGTCATCCGTTAACCATGCGTACTATTACATTTGCCATCAACTTCTGGTCAAAGGTCAGTTATTAGGATAAACAGTAAAGTGGATTATGAGGGAACCTTTCTACGTTTATGCCTGAGTTGTGTATTTTTTGTAATTATGAGGGAACCTTTCTACGTTTATGGCTGAGTTGTGTATTTTTTGTAATTATGAGGGAACCTTCTACGTTTATGGCTGAGTTGTGTATTTTTTGTAATTATGAGGGAACCTTCTACGTTTATGGCTGAGTTGTGTATTTTTTGTAATTATGAGGGAACCTT